ATTGGCATAAACTCAGATGTGATTAAATGGGGCTCATGAATTATGAATAACTCAGGAAATTTCAAGGGTTTTAGAAGCTCTGTGCCAGGCACTGGAGAAAAAGACCGGAGAATAAATATTTCTATGATACCACACTCTCCCACTAGAAGGTAAGCTCCATGTGGCAATGGATGTTTTTCTCTATCTTATTTTCTCTATTTTATTCAATACTGTATCCCAGTATAACGACAGTGCGCACAGTGGGTGCTAAATAAATATCGTTGAATAAATGAATAAACTAAATGGGTTCTTACTTTATACCAGGTTTTGTACTATATGCTTTACTTATATTATCTCACTTAATCCTCCTAACAGCCACAAAAATTAGTTACTATTATACTTCTGCTATGGTTTGAATGTCTTTCCCCTCCAAAACTGATGTTGAAATTTTGTTGGCATTAAGATTTAAAAGGGAAGACCTTCTCTTTTTTTTGTCTTTTGTCTTTTTCCGTGTCCGGCAACGGATCGCAACCCTCAGTGTTGCCCCCGTACCAGACCGGGGACCGGCAACAGGATTGCAACCCTTGGCGTTGCCCCCGCACCTCGCTCAGCCAGTGAGCAGGAACCAGTCTGTATGTGGGATCCGAACCCTCGGGCGGGAGCGCCGCAGCGCGGCGCACTTATCCAGTGCGCCACCGGGCCGGCCAAAAAAAGGGAAGACCTTCAAGAAGTACTTAGGTCGTGAGGGCACTGCTTTCCTGAATGGACTATTACGTTTATCATGGGAATGGGTTCCTGATAAGGTTCTTATGTGGGAGTGGGTCTGCCTCCTCTTGCTCCTTCTCTCTTTTTGCCCGTTAGCCATGTTATACCTCCCACCATGTTAAAACCCAGCAAGAAGGTCCATACCAGATGGCAGCACCGTGATACCAGACTTCTCAGCCTCCAGAATAGTGAGCCAATAAATTTCTGTTCATTATAAATTATCCAGTCTCAGGTATTCTGTTAAAGCAGCCCAGTTAATAGACACTTCCCATTTAATAGATGAAAAGAGCAAGGATTTAGACAAGTTCAGTGGCATGTCTAAAGTCACATAGCTGTACGTATAGGAGCAAGGATTCTAACCCAGAGAATCTGACTCAAAATTCCACACTGTTAAAGACCTCTCATTCCATGATATTGATATAGAAATAATTCATGATATGTTGTTACATGATAAAGCAGATTATAAAACTATCTTTTTAAAAGTACACATACTCATGTTTGTGTAGCGGAAAAAAAGTGTGCGTGAGTTTATTCTTTTTTTTTTTTTTTCCTTTTTGTCGGTTTTTCGTGACCAGCCATGGATCGCAACCCTCAGTGTCGCGCCCGCACCAGACCAGGACCGGCCACGGGATCGCAACCCTCGGCGTTGCTCCCGCACCTCGCTCAGCCAGTGAGCGGCCGGTCCGTATGTGGGATCCGAACCCTCGGCGGGAGCGCCGCCGCGCTTCCCAAGCGGTGCACTGTAGCAGTGCGCCACCGGGCCAGCCCTGCGTGAGTTTATTCTAAAATATGTATCGCTGGGTAATAAAATGAATGAACTCTATTTTCTTATTTATATTAATTTTCAGCATTTTTGGCAAAGAGTGTGTATTATTTTTAGGGTGAAAGAAAGAAGTTCTTTTAAAACTACAGAAATCAAATTGTTTGGGGGCCGGCCCGTGGCTCACTTGGGAGAGTGTGGTGCTGATAACACCAAGGCCAAGGGTTCGGATCCTATATAGGGATGGCCGGTTAGTTCACTGGGTGAGCGTGGTGCTGACAACACCAAGTCAAGGGTGAAGATCCCCTTACTGGTCATCTTTTAAAAAAAAAAGAAATCAAATTGTTTGAAGATACATATTATCTGCCTATTTCTTTCAAAAGGTTTATATTAATTAGTTACTGCCTCTTCTTACCCAAAAGAAGGTCTTAAATTAAGATTGACCTCTTCTCAATGAAAAAAGTTCATTTTCTGTGTCTTCCCTATTTTTACCATTTAAATTGAAGCATATTCAACCAATTAAGCAACCAGGAATTCCAAATGTGTTTACTATCTTTTACAGTATAAAATGCATGAGGGCCTTACATAAGCATTTGAGCCCAGTTAAGACTGCCTATATTACACAAAATCCCTTCCCCAACTCTACCAACATCACATACCACTAACTCCACATCCAGTTGATGGTAAATTCTAAAATCAGGCCTACTTGATGTGAACTGAGATAAGGAGTTTAGTTTCAAAAAGCCTGATACTGGGGCCGGCCCAGTGGCGCACTGCTACAGTGCGCCGCTTGGGAGCGCGGTGGCGCTCCTGCCAAGGGTTCGGATCCCACATACGGACCGGCCACTCACTGGCTGAGCGAGGTGCGGCCACAGCACCGAGGGTTGCGATACCGTTGCCGGTCCCGGTCCGGTACGGGCGCGACACTGAGGGTTGCGATCTGTTGCCGGACACGAAAAAAGAAAAAAAGAAGAAAAAAAAAAAAAAAAAAAAAAAAAAAAAAAAAAAGCCTGATACTGTACAAAAAAAAAAAAAGTGTGATACTGTATTTGAAAGGCCACATCAGACTTCTTTTTCAAACAACTGCTAGGACTCCTCAAAACATAGTCATCTTGGTAAATAGCACCTTCATGCATCCAGCTGCTCAAACCAGAAACACCTCTCTCATCAATTCTCATACCTAATCTCACGAAATTTCATTTTCTTCAAAATAAATCTCACCCCCTTCTTTCCATAACCATTGCCACTACTTTTGTGGAGCAAAATCCTTCTCCTGGATTAGTGCATTAGCATCCTTAACTGATAACACTTCCATTCATGTCCTCTCATATTCTCCACGTCAAGGGGCCCAAATGGTTTATTAAAAATGAAAATCTGATCATGTTTTAAAACCTTCAATGTTTCCCAAACACACGCAAAGTGAAATCTGAACTCCTTTAACAAACTCCCTGTATGTGTCTCAAGGCTTCTCTCCAACCTCATTTGTCAGTGCTCCGTTTAATCACTATGCTCTAGCCACACTAGCCTTAGTTTTGTTCCTCCAATCTGTTAAATTGCTAAACTCCTTCCTATCTCAGGACCTCCAGATATTTTTGTTTACTTGGAATACCTGTTCACTATTCACCTAGCTAACTCCTACTTATCTTTACTTCATATTACAGAATCTTGTCATAAGACAAGATTCCATACTTGCTTTGTTCACCTGGTACCTTACTGTTGACCGATAGATAACTAACCACTTCAATTTCTATCATTAAGTCAGTACTAGCACACACACAAAAAAAATTTTTTTGAAATGAACCAAGAATAAGAGTAACAAGTGAATTACCCTTCAAAGAGGGTAATAATCACCCTTGGAATCATTTTTCTCTGCCCTAACTCTTGCTTTAGAAAAAGATGAGGATTAAGCAGAATCAAAATTTCAAATGCAAGCAATAACGACTCAAAAATACATTAGCATTTCTGGTCAAAAAGGGAAAAACAATCATGTCTGGGTTAAATTAAAAAAAAGAAAGAGTAGGGGGTCGGGGTTTTGAATACCTAAGCCTCTGGGAGAGTCAGAAGGATGGAAAGGGAACATTACTGGCTCCGTTTACGTCTACGGCGGAGACACCTCCCCATCCCCACCCCGGAATGCCAGACACTGAACAACGCCCGACGGATTCAGTAGCAGAAATTCCACGCAATCGGTTCCATAAGCCAAGATCTCTACCACGTTCATTTTCACGCCTCTGCCCCCAACAGCTCCGTCCTCAACCCTTTTAAGTCTCAGGCCCGATTCTCGGCGTTATCCCCTGAGCCACTTCTCAAAACTGGGACTCACGTTGGGTTAATCCCTTCCCCTTCCGCGGAACCGTTTCTACGAATGCAACCCGCAAACAGCCGCGGGAGGGCCGAAGAAAGAGGGCTGAATGCCGGACTCACCTGGGGTTGCACCGTGGTCGACAAGGAAAACATCTCCTCCGGGCCGTCAGCGACCTCACCCGCCTGCCAAAACTGCCCCTCAGTCCACGGCCTGGCGGGGAGGCGCTGAGCCCTTTCTTTGCCTTCTTTTTCTCCCTCTCGTTGCCCTCAGTCCTCCCAGACACGGAAAATGGCCTCCCCTTCCCGCAGCTGCCGCAACGACAGTCTACCCCGGAAGGCAAGGCTCTAACGCAACAGTACTTCCGGGGCAAGTGGGCGCCACCACCAGGGCGGTGCGTCAGCGTTCCGCCTCTTCAGGGGCCGATGTGTAGGTTTTTGTTTGCTTCCTTTGAGCCTCTCCCTCAGACTTTTTACAGCTAATATTCCGACTGGGTCTTTTGCTACAATTTAGTGCTCCTTATCTTCGCCCAAGTAAATCAAAAATTCTTCCTGTTGGTCCTAATCTGTTTCAGTCAGGCAAGTGACAACCTGTGGAAACGTCAGATTACAGGGTCAGCCATCCGCTTCCTGCTCATCCGGTTTCTCCACATTCCGTGACTTCACTAGCTTCCAAACTTTATCCCTAGCCATGGCTTAACTAACAATACCAACTGGTTTATATTTCTCACTGGGTGGGGGTCGCGAAGGAGGGAAGAAAATTCAGGTCTTGACTGGAACAAGAACAGCTTCTCACCAGCCTCGTCTGGAGGCCGGGAGAAATCTCTTCAAATCCCGCTTTTCAGATTTAAGTCCCGCTTGTCCCGTTTCTTGTCGGCCGAGAACTGTTTGTTCCTCCTCCCTCATTACAAATGATCTCACACAACCTTGGTCCTAGTCCTCGAAGAGTCTCTGATGGGGTGGAAACTTTCCCGGCGTTCCTGCCCTTACGCCCTCACGTTCACTGGGTCCTTCGGAGTCTAAGAGGTAGTGACGAGACCGGGCTGCGCCGGGCTCGGCGCGGCGACGCGATGGCGTCACAGCCAGCGCGCGGCGTGGGTGGAGCCTTTCTTTGAACCCAGTTGGCGGGAGTTGCGGCTGGGAAGGGGGCCTTGGCGGCTGGCCTGCTGCAACCTTCCATCTGGGCTGTCCAGTGATGGAACCCACCGCGGAGAGCGAGGAGGAGAGTGGAGGAGGCGCGGCGACAGGGGAGTGCGTGAATAGGATTCCGGTGCCAAGACCGCCCTCCATTGAGGAATTCACCATAGTGAAGCCCATTAGCCGTGGCGCCTTCGGGAAAGTGTATCTGGGGCAGAAAGGCGGCAAGTTTTATGCAGTGAAGGTAGGAAGTCAAGGAGTCAAGAGAGGGAAAGAGGCCGGCCCTATGGCCTTCCTTCCTGCCCCCCTGACTTTGGCAGGCTCTGGGGTTGCTGGAGCGACTAGTCTGGGTGCTGAAGCCTCCAGAGCCCTGCGAGCTGACTTCTTCATTTGGGGTGACATCAGCGGTCGGGTCGGGTGTCTCGCCTCTGCCCCGCCCTTCTCTTCATTTCTTGGATGCTTAAGAATCGCTGCTCAGTGAGAATAACAAAGATTAACCCCCTTCTCCCTGGCCAGTGTTAGCAAGTGAGGAAACTTGAAACCAAAGGCAAAGGGACTGGACTGAGATGGTTACATCGGCCTTAGTACAACAGGAACTTAAAGCCAAAGCCCTGATTCATAGTTTAACCCAGGCTTGAGTCAGGTTTGTAAATCCAAAAAGTTTTAAGTAATTGGTGGTTTTGTTTTCCTTGTTTGTTTGCTTTGACATACAGAATTGCTTAGATTTTTCTTTTTTTTTTTTTTTTTTCCTTTTTTTTTTTTTTTTGAAACAAAAATTTTTTTATTTTTTTTTTTTTTTTTTTTTTTTTCCTTTTTTTTTTTTTTTTGAAACAAAAATTTTTTTATTTTTTTTTTTTTTTTTTTTTTTTTCCTTTTTTTTTTTTTTTTGAAACAAAAATTTTTTTATTTTTTTTTTTTTTTTTTTTTTTTTCCTTTTTTGTCTTTTTTCGTGTCCGGCAACGGATCGCAACCCTCAGTGTCACGCCCGTACCGGACCGGGACCGGCAACGGGATCGCAAACCTCGGTGCTGCGCCTGCACCTCGCTCAGCCAGTGAGCGGGAACCTGGTCTGTATGTGGGATCCGAACCCTCGGCGTTAGTGCCGCCGCGCTCCCAAGCGGCGCACTGTAGCAGTGCGCCACCTGGCCGGCCCAGAATTGCTTAGATTTTTCCACCAGAAAAAAATGATTAGTTTTTAGACACTGACTTATCAAGTTTGACTCTAACCAGGAAGAAGCTGCACTATTTTCTGATATCTGTTATGAAATTTTTAAATGTTAATATCACCTATTCGTTTATGTATCTTTTGGATCCTTTTTACTAATTTGGCCTTTACCAGGATTGAGTGTGAACTTTCATTAAATTTTTAACAGTCACTTCCACATTATATTCTAATTTTTTCATTTTTGATAAAGATTTCTGACCTGCTGTATAAACAAAAGATCTCATTAAATGAACCTCATTTTTTCTCTTCTAACCTTTCATTGTGAAGCCTAAAATGTACTTTTACTTGAAGAATAAGCTGAAATATGTCCTAAATCAATCCTTTATACAGGCAACAATGTTTTATCATTCTAAAAACATTCAACATATATTTGAAGCTGTTCTGTCCACTCTTCTCATCCACTTATGTGGCTTCAGATTACTCACATTTTTAGCACTGAGTGAAGGCTATAAAGGATAGGTTAAGTCAGCAGTCTGCTGATGCAGTTTCAACTTCTTGCCAGGCATTGTCAAATTAATATCTAGAAAGCACTTACAAATTGTATTTGCCTGGGCCGGCCCGGTGGCGCTCCCGCCGAGGGTTCGGATCCCACATACAGACCGGTTCCCGCTCGCTGGCTGAGCGAGGTGCGGGCGCAACATCGAAGTTTGCGATCCCGTTGCCGGTCCTGGTACGGGTGCGACACTGAGGGTTGCGATCCGTTGCCGGACACGAAAAAAGACAAAAAAAAAAGGAAAAAAAAAAAATTGTATTTGCCTAACCTCAAACAGTCCTCTCCACCTAACTGCCTAAACTCTGAACCTCTTGTATTCCCTCTTTCCACTTAATAGCACTACCGTCATCCCTGTCCTTCAGGCTAGAAACCCAAGTAATTTTAACTTTCCTCTACTTCATTTGTGTATCATATCTCTCAACTACTGCTGTCAATACTGTCTCATAGTTATTCTTTGTATCCCTTCCTATCCATTCCCAAGTCTCTGTCCAAGTACAGGCCTTCATTTTTCCCCCTATTTAGTTATTTAACCATCACCACAATCCAATTTTAGAATATTTTCATCATGCAGAAAAGACCTCTCCTAGCCATCTGCAGAGCCTCCCCTCTTAACACCCCCAGTCCCAGGTAACCACTTCTACTTTCTATCTCTATAGGTTTGCCTTTTATGGCATTTCATATAAGCAGAATCATACAACATATGGTTTTTTGCATTTGGCTTTTTTCACTTGACATGATGTTTTTGAGTTCCATCAGGCCTTCGTATCCACATCTAATTTATTGGAATAGCCCCCTAACTGGAATAAGTATCTTTATTTTTTCATCTATTTGCTGTGACATGCAAGCTGAAGTCCAAACTCTTTAGAAAAGCAGATATGCTGCAAGTTCTGGCTCTTAGATTTCCATTATATCATCCACACACCCTATGTTCTTTTTTTTTTTTGTCTTTTTCCGTGTCCGGCAACGGATCGCAACCCTCAGTGTCGCCCCCGTACCGGACCGGGGACCGGCAACGGGATCGCAACCCTCGGTGTTGCTCCCGCGCCTCGCTCAGCCAGTGAGCGGGAACCGGTCCGTATGTGGGATCCGAACCCTCGGGCGGGAGCGCCGCCGCGCTTCCCAAGCGGCGCACTATCCAGTGCGCCACCAGGCCGGCCCACACACACCCTATGTTCTAACCATCCCAGATAATTGACTAGTCCTTCAGTGCTGTGTATTTTCTTGCCTCTGAGCTTATGTTATTCTGGTTCCTCTGTAAGTTCTTTTCTTACACCCTTCTCTTCATCACCTATCTTATTCATGAATTAATGTTTATCTTAGCTCCTCTTCAAACCTTCCCTGATCTTTCAGGCCTATCCCATTGAAATTGTTTCCTGCTTTATATGTTCCCAAGATTTTGTGCTTTTCTTTCTACCATAGTTAGAAATTGGTCCATTCTCAGTTGTTGGTCATTCATTTGTTCAATAAGTAAATTTGTTGAGTTTCCCCTTTGTATGTTGGATCTAGGTTACATGATCAAACCTGAACAAGACAAACCTGCCCTCACAGAGCTTCCAATCCAGTGGACTGATAGGTGAAATCATGTCACAGACTTGCTTTGTCAGTGATCCCCAGTTTTCTTGTGGAAAGGAGGTAGAGCTGGAATTCATCATATGTTAATGATTTTATTAAACACTCTGATGAAACTTTGAAAGAAATATGCTTTTTTTTCTTATAATAGTCCTGAGAATTGATCCCAATGTTATTGACTATTCAGATTAGTGCTCCAACTTTAATGTAGATTATAGTTTTGTTTCTGTTCCAATTACCTGGAAACTTGAAAAGAATAATTAGTTGTTTTCTCTAAGACAGCATTTGGGACTATTGTTGCAGTAGTTCTAATCATTCTTAAGTTTTTTTTTTCCTTAGGCAAAAAAACCGACATTATTTCTTTTTCTGATTCTATTCTCATCCTTCAAAGAATCAGAAGTAAAAAAATATATGTTAGGTACTATTACTCTATGCCAAGATTCCTAGTTATCTGGAGCTTATCAGGAACATTACTATCATTTGACTTTGTTATAAGAACAGCAGAACAGAGTTTTTTCCTACTAACATGCAAGGCAGTTACGGAGTATTTGTCAATTCTTTTTTCTTCTCAAAAGGGATATAATGCTTTTTTCCACTAAATAGCGAGGTAAGAAGTTGCATCTTGAAGATTGCTTTTTGTTGGTATGTATGTTTACCATTGTAGCTGTTTTTCTGACAGTTTTCTGATGGCAGTGTGAGTTCCAAATGGCATCTATATGTTTTTTTCTCTCTTTGCATTTCTATGATGGTAACTTTGAAACCTGAGCACACTTTGTATTAAAAAATAAATAACTGTGTATGTCGTCATGTTATCTATTGTAGGTTGTCAAAAAAGCAGAAATGATCAACAAAAATATGACCCATCAGGTACAAGCTGAGAGAGATGCACTGGCACTAAGCAAAAGTCCTTTCATTGTCCATTTATACTATTCACTGCAGTCAGCAAGCAATGTCTACTTGGTGAGTAAATGATTTTACATTTTTTTCTTTATTCAGCAATCACTGAACCCAGTGATTTAAGAACACAATCTCTGGTTCAGAGTACCTGCATTTGAATTTCAGCTCCAGCACCCACTAGCTCTATGACCTTGGCCAAGTTAGCTGTTGTATTACTTAGTGTTCTTCAGAGAAAAAGAGCCAATAGAGGGTGTGTGTGTGTGTGTGTGTGTGTGTGTGTTTGCATGCATACATAGATTTATTTTAAGGAATCAGCTCACAGGATTGTGGGAGCTGGCAAGTCCGAAATCTGCAAGGTAGGTCAGCAGGCTGAAGACCAAGGGAAGGGTTGAGATTTCAGCTCCAGTCTAAGGGCTGTCTGGAGGCAGAATTCCCTCATCCTCTGGGGACCTCATTCTTTTTTCCTTAAAGGCCTTCAACTGATTGGTTGAAGGCCATCCACATTATGAAGGGTAATCTGGTTTACTCACAGTCTGCTGATTTAAATGTTAATCTCATCTGAAGAATACTTTCACAGAGATGTTTAAACTGGTGTTTGACCAAATATCTCAGTACCATGACCTAACCAAGTTGGCACATAAAATTAACCATCACACTTTAGTTTTCTCATCTGTAAAGTGGAGGTAATAATAGTACCTACCTCACAGGTTGTTATGAAATTTTAATAGGTTAATATAAAGCATGTAGAACAGTGTCTGGGACACAATGCTAAAAATATTTGTTAAGAAAAGGACATACAATAGAAATTCTTTGTAAAGTTTGGTGTAAATAAGGAAAGATACCAGGAAGTGATGTGTTTTGGGTATGTGGACTTTGAGAGTTGCTTTCTGTTCATTTAAAGCAGCAGCTTCCACTCCATTAATTCAAATGAGGAATTTAAGGGGCACAGAGAGGAAGCAAGGATGGCAGGTATTTTGACTACAAATTCCATAGGTTCTTCTGATCTCAGAGATGGTCTATGGATTAAATGTTTGATAACCCCAACAGCTTCTGTTTAGCACATACAAATGGTTGTCCATGAATGAATGGGTCTTTAGGATATAGGTTCTAGACATGGAATTTATATGTTTATCAACAGAAATCTCATTCCTTTCATGATTTGATTGCCTCCAAGAGGGGAAACCCTTTACCCCCAATATGCTAAAGCCATCCCACAACTCTGTGGAACATAATTGTGTCACACATCAACTTTTTGCTCTACCAAAAATTTGAGACTAAACAGAATTCTAATTGAACATCATGTCCAGCTTCAGGCTATAGAAGCAAAAAATTCAGGGTAGGTTATAAAAATGGTATCTACTCTAAGACTCTTCTGGTACTTGATGGTTTAGTTCACTTCTAATCTTTCAGTAATTTTTTGTGTATACTTAGATTGATGTTAAATGTGTTGCAAAGCTTTAACAGGAAGGTCAGAAAACTTTGGAAAGTAAAAACCTTTTCTAGAAGAGTAGTGAGCACTTTTTTTTTTAGTATCAGGAGTAATTCAGGAAAAATAAAAGTTTTTTTTTTTTTTTTTTTTTTTGTGACCGGTAAGGGGATCGCAACCCTTGGCTTGGTGTCGCCTGCACCACGCTCAGCCAGTGAGCGCACAGGCCATCCCTATATAGTATCCGAACCCGCAGTGGGACTGCCGCTGTGCTCCCAGCACCTCACTCTCCCGAGTGCGCCACGGGGTCGGCCCAAAATAAAAGTTTTTAAAACAACAGTTGTTTAAATGAATGGTGAAATGTGATCATACTGTAAATACTATTCTTCTACCTATTTTTCCACTTAATGGTGATCTCATCCTTTTTAATGACTGCATATAATTCCATTGATTTAATTATGAATTTCGTAATTTCTTTAATGAATGTCTTATTGATAGTTGGTTTTGGGGATTTTTTAGCTGTTTTCTATTGTTCTAAACAATACGACAATGAAAACTTCACTGTGAATTGCAATATCTGGTTTTAATGAACTCCTCTATGGGAGATGAGACCTGGTGATTCTAGGGGCAAGGATTTTGGAGTGAAGATATAAATTTGTATTCAAATTCACATTCAAAGCAAGGCTAAAAGGAGACCCCCTAGCTTCTTAGAAAGTATATGATGGGGGTCTGCTTTTTAGAATGATTTACTGTCTGAGGGAGTCAAAAAATATACATAGTGGTAGTAAGAAAGTGAATACTAGATACTGTAAGAATAATTGATTTAAGACAGTGGTTGGCAAACTATGGCCCATGGGCCAAATCTGGCTTACTCTGTATTTCCATACAGCCTGTTGAGCTAAGAATAGATTTTATACTTTCAAAAGGTTGGAAAAAAATCAAAAGAAGAATAATATTCTGTGATACATGAAAATTGTATGAAATTTGAATTTTAGTAAATAAAGTTTTATTGGAACCCAGCCACATCCTTTTGTTTACATATTATCTATGGCTTCTCTTATGCTACAATAGCAGAGTGAAGTAGTTGCAACAGAGACCTACAAAGCCTAAAATATTTACTATCTGGCTCTTTACAGAAAAAGAAGGGAACATTCTTATGTGCCATTCCCAGAGAAGTCAAGGGGCTACTTAATCCTTTAATTCTTCCTGAGGCTCTCTAATGCCTTTACTACATACTGTTTCACATGCATGTGTATGCCTTCCCTAAAGCCATGACTGTGGTTGCAGCATCAATCCTGGGTTGAATTGCTCAAGTTAGTAGATTTTTTCATTGCTTGTATCCTAGAATTAGTGGATTAAGTAAACAACTATAATATTTTTTATTTCTTATTCCTGCAGTTAGGTAGTAGGCCATATCTTGTTTACCTAAGTTCATCATTGGTTTAGATCTTTGATATTAAAAGTGTTGTCCACAGACAAGCAGTGTGAGCGTCATCTGGGAGTTTATTAGAAATGCAGAATCTCAGTCTCCAGTCCAAATCTGCTGAGTCAGAATCCGCAATTTAACAAGATCCCCAGGCATGTTAAAGTTTGAGAAACACTGGTTTAGACAAAACAAAGATTTCTTAGAAATGGGAAGCTACTTTGAAGCAAAGAGGTAAGGTATGACTGAATGTAGCCACAATAACAACAAATGATTGACTACTACATGCCAGGTACTATGCTAGGTACAAGGAACATAAAGATGAAAAGGCCTTTTTATTATGGAAACATTTAAACATACACAAAAAATCCAAAGGTCAGTATAATGAACTTCATATATCTATCAGCCAATTTCAGTAGTTATCAACATTTTGCAAAAATTTGTTTCATCTATTCCCCATCAACCTTTCATTTAATGGTTTTGGCATCCTTTGAATTATTGTCCTGGATACATTCTTTTATTAAGGTTTGTAAAATGATGATTTTCTAGTTCTGTTATTCCTTCTGCTTTCATGAGCTGGAATTCTTCTATAAAGAACTGTCCCTTATCATTGAATTCATTACTATGAAATACAGCTTGTATAAGGATGGCAGAAGAAATGGTTGATTCCTTTCATCTCTGATTTTCAAGCTATCAACCTCCAAAACTTCCAAATGGGTATATTTTATTAACATCTTTATGAATTCATGAATGTTTATAGATTTGATATCTTTTGATCCACTGCAGTCATTACTCTTTTCTATGCTCAAATTGTTCCATCTTTAGCCAGTGGAAGCTTCAGTTAGCTTCTGTGTCTTTTTATACCATCCTGGTATTCTGATAGTTTCCTTGCTTTCTGGCATGACAAAATATTTAAGGTTCATTTTGTAAGTGTTCTGTACTAGGTCTGGACAAGGAGGTCTAACTCCTTTTATTGGGAAATAGTATTTAGGGACCATAATCTGGGTGCTGGTGACTAGTAGTTCATTGCCACTGAGTTGTCATTCTTTAAGGCCATTTAGTGGACAGAGTAAAAAATATTTTAATAAAAAGAAAAAAATATATCATGAGTTCATACTCATATTTACACAATTCAGTGGAAGATTATAGAATTTTAACTTAACATCTTTGAAAAAATATTTGGAAAATATAAAATAAATATTAAAAATAAAATATAAAAATATTTTGGAACAATATTCGTATTCTTTTCTCTTACCATGAGAATATTGGTTCCTAACAATATTAACATTACTTACCCACTTTAACTTACAGCATATATATATATACATATATATATATATACCTAATATTTTCACAATGACAATGCCAATATTGTTTACTAATACTAAAATTGCTGTATTTAAGATTTCTTTGCAGTTCTTTTTGTCTTGGGGTTGTACTGTCAAGATTCTGTTTTTTGAAGTCACTTGACATATACTCTGTGTGGTTAGGAAACTTGATATACAGCTCAGTTCATTTGTTTCCCTTTTATATCAGATTTCTACTTTAAAAAGGTAATTTATAAAAGCACTAGAAGAAAACTGACATGAAAATTTTTATAAGCATAGGGTAGAGCTGGTTTTACTGAGTATAACATAAAACCTACCTAAAATTTTAAAATATGTGACACAAAATACATAGAGTCAAATTATAAGTTTGGAGAAAATATTTAGAAGACAAAGGGCTAATTTTACTACTATGTAAACAGATTTTACAATTCAATAAAAGGATAAATACCCCAGTACAAATATGGGCAAAGGATGGAAGACGCAGGTCACAAATGAAATATAAAAGGCCAAAAACAATGTGCAAAGATGCCTAATCCTCCTAATAATTAATGAAGTAAACATTTAAACAAGACCATTTTTTTCTTTACATTGATGAAGATAAAAAGATTGATAATCACTCTTTCAAAGGTTGTAGGAAAATAAGCATTCTCTTGAGCTCAAATACATCTGTTTACTTATGTATTTTTCCAGTACTGAATTATGAACCCTTTAAGTGCAATGACCACATTTTATTCATGTTTGTATTCCCAGTACTGCTAGCACAGTATGTAGCAGAGATTTGATGCCTAATAAATATTTTAATGATTGATCCCATCTACAAATATTGATTAACCTCTCTGCAACCTCAGGAAAAGTATTGACCTGAAGAGGAAAGCAATTATCTTGTTCTGTTAAGTTCTTAGCAGGCAATATTTTATAGCTTAAAACTGTAGAATAATTTTGAGAATAATGATTACCACATGTGGAAAGAATAATATAGTTTTTCAACCAACATAACAATAATGGATTTAGGCAATAATGGTGATCACATGATGCTAAAATAATTGAAAGTTTGTTGGGGAGCAGGTTATTTACATAGTCTCAAAGTATCCGCCTACAGATTACTTATTAATTACAAAGGGGAAAAAAAGTACTTCAATGAAGAAATCTGGGAGATTCACCTTCACCAAGTGATCCCAGTTAATAGGACTCACTGACATTAGGTGTCTCATCTGGTGGGAGTCACTGAGAAGGACTCAACATCACTTATGTGGTATTTCTGCCAAAAATGCATTACCTGATCAAATCATGAGGAAATAATCAGACAATCCCAAATTGAAGGACTTCTGTAAAAAAGCCTGTACTCTTCAAAAATGTCTCTGTCATGAAAGACTCCTCCCCCACCAATGCCTACCTCCCATGAAGGCTGAAAAACTGCTCAAGATAAAAGGAAACTGAAGAGAAACAACAAGGAAATGCCATGCATGATCCTGGCTTGGAAATGGGAGGTGAGGAGAGATACTATAAAACACAATATCAAGATAGTCAGAGAAATTTGAATATGGACTGTGTATTAGAGAATAGCATTATATTGGTGTTAAATTCAGTGAATTTTATTGCACTGTAGTTATGTAAGGATGTCTTGTTAGGAGATACATGATGAAGAATTTAGTGATGACAGGCTATGACCATTTTTCATCTTTACTCACCAATTATTCAGAAAACGTTTGTTTTTTGGTTTTTTTTTTGGTGGCTGGCTGGTATGGGGATCTGAATCCTTGACCTTGGTGTTTTTAGCACCACATTCTTCCAAGTGAGCTAACCTACCAGCCCCCAAGTTTTAAAATTATACATTAATACATTAATATCAGGTTTGCTAATGTTACCATATTTTCTTTAATTAAACACAAATACATGCATATAAAATAAATATTTATGTTGATTATATTATTTACCTTATAGTTTATAAATATTAATATATAATTCAAATATGAAAACTTGTTTTATATGCATATATGTGGAGAGGGAGAAAGCAAATGTGACAAAATGCCAACAATGGGTGAATCTACATAAAGGGTCTATGGTTTAGTCTAAACAGTTTAATTTTCAATTAAAAAACAATATGGTAATATGAGCAAATCTGATATTAATGTATAATGAGCAATAACAAGCAAATGTGTTTTGTCACAGGACCATGATAAAAATATGTAACTATAAGGCCCAATTACTGTATTTTTAAAGTAATCATACTGTTTTTATTTGACAACATTAAATTCATTTTTGATAGATAATGGAGTATCTTATTGGTGGAGACGTCAAGTCTCTCCTACATATATATGGTTATTTTGATGAAGAGATGGCTGTGAAATACATTTCTGAGGTAGCATTGGCTCTAGACTACCTTCATAGACATGGAATCATCCACAGGTAAAGACTGCCTTTTCTCTAAACTATTACTTAAAAATACAAGTAATCAAATTATATATTAAATATTTGAATCTCAAATATTTGCAGTCATCACTTGCCCATATTTCCAGGTTATCTAAAGTTTAGTAGGAACTTATGTGAATTTAGAAATGCTATTAACGCTTCTTTCATCTCCTTGTGTTTTTTAAATATGTTGCCTTGAACATGAGTGTAGCATTTTAATGTGAAGAATATTGAATCCTTTTCTACTCGTCTATCATCATACAAAAGTATTGTATTTTGTAATCCCAATTGATTTACAATGTTTTCCTCTGTGCGAAGAATGTCAGGTTAAGTTTCTCTGCTCTATTAAAGCTTAATCTTACCTTCCTTTGAAAAGGTAAATGTGGTTTTGAATGAATTGAGGTTGATTTTGTCTAACAAAGTTTATTTTAACGGAATATATAATAAATAATTCCCCAAATAATCTAGTATTAAATCATTTAACTTTTTTGTAAATTAAGATATACAAAAGATGTTTTACTTTTGAGAGTTGTCTTCTGCACTTTTCAAAGCCACCAATGAGTGCCTTTATTTTAGAGGAAATAAATAGTGTTTGCCTCTTCTCTACCTCTCTTTTTTTTTTTTTCTGGAAATTCTAACATCAAAACTAGCCCTTTGTTTGTTATTTACTATTTGCCTTTTGTATGTGCAGGGATTTGAAACCAGACAATATGCTTATTTCTAATGAGGGTCATATTAAACTGACAGATTTTGGCCTTTCCAAAGTTACTTTGAATAGAGGTAAGAAAAATAGCAGGTAAGTGCCCTCTTAAAAGTCAACAAATTTTAGAGACTACATTTCATTAATTTTCACTGTTTTGTTAATTTATGCTAAATAAAATTTGATAATTATTTGTTCCAAAATAGGCTAGAAATGGAAAATGGTATCTTTTTTCCATTAAAGATGAAAAATGGGAATGATTATTCATGGATTTTCAAAGGTCCTTGAAGATCCTTGGATCTTCAAAAAGGAACTCACAATCTCTGGTCTTCTGACTGTACCTAGTGAAACTGTTTCTTACCAATCAACCATCAGTAAACTAACATAACTATAACATGTTGATGGGTTAACAGCTAAAAACATATTCTAATATACATGGCCACCACTAAGACCTTTATGAACAAAGGGACAAAGAAAATGAACACACAGTTCACACACACATATATATATATGGGAATATGTTCATTTCACTAGTAATAATTAAAGAAATGCTAATATAAAAAAAGAGTAAATGGAAATTCAAATCAAAATGAGATACCACCTCACGCCAGTTAGAAAGGCTTCTATCCAAAAGATGAAAGAAAGGGCTGGCCAGTTAGCTCAGTTGGTTAGAACACGGTGTTATAACACCAAGGTCACACATACACAAAAAAGAAAAAAGAAAACAAGTGTTGGCAACGATGTGGAGAAAAAGGAACCCTTTGCACACTGTTGGTGAGAGTACAAATTAGTACAACCATTATGGAAAACAGTATAGAGGTTCCTCAAAAAATTAAAAGTAAAACTACTGTGCAATCCAGCAATCCCACTAATGTGTATATACCCAAAGGAAATGATGTCGGTATGTCAAAGAAATATCTCCACTCCCATGTTTAATATTTACTGCAGCACAATCTACAATAGCTGATATATGGAACCAACAAAGTGTCCAGCAATGGATGAATGGATCAATTACTATATATACAATGGAATACTATTCAGCCATAAAAAAGAATAAAATCATGTCATTTGTGGCAACATGGATAGACTTGGAGGTTGTTATGTAAAGTAAAGTAAGCTAGGCACAGAAAGACAAATACCATATGATCTCACTCATATGTGGACTCTAAAAAAAATAATAAAAATTAAAAGTTGATATAGAAACAGAGAGCAGAACAATGGTTACCAGAGACTAGGGAGGGAAGGGAGAAAGGGAAAACAGAGAGATGTTGGTCAACAAGTACAAAATTAGAATTAGATAGGAGGAATAAGTTCTGAAGTTCTGTTGCACAGTAGAGTAGATATGGTTAACAGTTAAGTTTTACATATCACGTAATAGCTAGAGGAGAGGCTTTTGAATGTTTCATCACAAACAAATGATAAATGCATGAGGTGATGGTTATGTTAACTATGCTGACCCTATCATTATATGATATATACGTAGCAAAACATCAGATTGTACTCCATAAGCATGTACAATAAGAATGTGCCAATTTAAATAAATTAATAAAATTAAATTAAGTTAAAAAGTAAAAAAGCTGATCTTATAGAAGTACAGAATAGAACAGTGGTTACCAGAGGCTGGGAGGGTTGGGGAGAGATGGAGTCGGGGAGAGATTGATCAATGGGTACAAAATTACAGTTGATTAGGAGGAATAAGTTCTGCTATTCTATCGCTCAATAAGATTAGTGGTATAGTTAGTGGTATTGTATTGTATATTTCAAAATAACTATAAGAGAGGATTTTCAATGTTCTCACCACAAAGAAATGATAGGGGCTGGCCAGTTAGCTCAGTTAGTTAGAGTGCAGTGTTACAACACCAGAGTCAAGGGTTCAGATCCCTATACCAGCCAGCTGCCAAGGAAGAAAATAAGAAATGACAAATGTTTCAGGTAATGGATATGCTAAATACCTTGATCTAATCATTGCACAATGTAAGCATGTATCAAAACATCACACTGTGCCCCATAAATATGTACAATTATTATATCAATTAAAAATAAAATAAAACTCTTTTAAAAAAGAATAAGTGAACTATTTTACACTATTAAATGGGCATAGAAATAGAATATTTATGATTCAGTTAGTTTTTCTAGGGGCATTGTAAACTAGCATAGTGCTCTCTGTAGGAAATCTGCCAATATGTTTTTAAAAAATAAAAGGTTTTTTGGGCTGGCCTGTGGCTCACTTGGGAGAGTGTGCTGCTAATAACACCAAGGCCGCCAGTTTGGATCCTTATTTAGGGATGACTGGTTAGCTCACTTGGGAGAGCATGGTACTGACAACACCAAGTCAAGGGTTAAGATCCCCTTACCGGTCACCTATAAAAAAATAAAAATTAAAAAAATAAATAAAAGGTTTTAATTCTTTTTGATCTAGTGACATGCTTTGGAATTTATTCTAAGGAAATATTTCAAGAGAACAAAATATATATGAAGAAAATGATTTGTAGCAGCATAAAGCATATAATATTCTTTATTAAAAACAGTAGAAGGATAAAAAGGTATTTTTAAATAAACAAGCAATAATCTAAATAACCTAGCAATAACCTATTGCAAATTATAATCCCTAGAATTATAATTATTTGAAAATGTATTCAGATCTACAATTTTTCTTAAAAAATATCTACAATTCTTTATTTGGAAGTAAAAAGTTCAAACAGTTATGAATACCTAAAGATTTTTCCTCAGTTTGTTAAAATCTGACCTGAGCTGATGTGGGGCTATTTATAATCTTTATTAATCCCACTTCATATGACTATTCATATATTTCAATGCAGAAATAATTTTTTTTTTTCCTTTTTCCGTGTCCGGCAACAGATCGCAACCCTCAGTGTCACACCCGTACCGGACCGGGACCGGCAACGGGATCGCAAACCTCAGTGTTGCTCCCGCACCTCGCTCAGCCAGTGAGCGGGAACCGGTCTGTATGTGGAATCCGAACCCTCGGCGGGAGAGCCACCGCGCTCCCAAGCTGCGCACTGTAGCAGTGCGCCACCGGGCCAGCCCCAGAAATAATATTTGATTACAGATGCTATATGAGATGCACTATGGATGTTCCAAAATATACAGTATATTCACCACATTAGCTTTTTTTTTTTTAATTAAAAAAAGATGACCGGTAAGGGGATTTTAACCCTTGACCTGGTGTTGTGAGCACCACGCTCTCCCAAGTGAGCTAACCAGCCATCAGTATATATGGATCTGAACCCGTGGCCTTGGTGTTATCAGCACCGCACTCTCCCAAGTGAGCTAACCAGCCATCAGTATATATGGATCTGAACCCGTGGCCTTGGTGTTATCAGCACCGCACTCTCCCAAGTGAGCCACAGGCTGGCCCCACATTAGCTTTCTAAAATCTAAACATTTTTGAATTATGAAACAAGTCTGACTCCAAGGATTTCAGATAACTTATTGGAAAATATGACAAATGAGGAAAGTTTTGTATTAAGATGATATTACTGATTAATTTAAATCATTTTTATATCATAATACTCTAAGTTTTATTTGTAAAATATCCTTTAAGATTATTATTACTGCCTTTTCTTATTGCTTCATCACTATGAGGTGTAAACAAAATTTAAGTTCAAACTTATAATATACTTTTTAAAGTCCTTTACCATATACAGAGCATTAGACTTCTCTTACCTTTTCTGATATCTAAGTAGAATAGTACGTTATTGTGTGTCAGTGTTGAATAATTTTAAAATATCTTGCACTGAATAAGCTAATCTGGGTCAATTTCTGCCTTGACCTAGGCTTAAACATATTAGTTAACATGAGATGCCTGTAATTTGTATTGATTCCTTACCACCTCTTTTTCCAATATTTGACTTGCTAAAAATTATTTTGTTGCCAGTTAGATAGCACTCATTTTTAGTCAAGGACAGTTGAAAATTTTAAATAAATTCATATGCTTTTCTTTGCATGCATAGATATCAATATGATGGATATCCTTACAACACCATCAATGGCTAAACCTAGACAAGATTATTCAAGAACCCCAGGACAAGTATTATCTCTCATCAGCTCTTTGGGATTTGTAAGTACTTGATAAGAAAAAACTCACATAACATGCCCTTTCATGATTATCATTTAAAATTTAAAATCCCCCTTTGAACAAAAAAGTATGATCAAAATAGATTTAAACATAAGGCACATAAAATTACTTTAACAGTTTATCTAGTTAGGTGGTGATAGAGTTTGGATGTGTTGTTCCCAGCAAAACTCATGTGGAAATCTGATCCCCAATGTGGCAGTGCTGGAAGCTGTTTGAGCCACAGGGGCGGATCCTTCATGAATGGATTAATGCTCTCTCTGGGGGGTGGGGGGAGTAATGAGTGAGTTCTCACTCTATTAGTTCCCACCAGGGCTGGTTGTTTAAAAGACCCTGGTGCACTCTCTCTCTCTCTCTCTCTCTCTCTCTCTCTCTCTCTCTCTCTCGCTTCCTCTCACCATGTGATCTGCTTGCACCTGCCGACTGCCTGCTGTTTTCTGCCATGAGTAGAAGCAGCCTGAGGCCCATGCCAGATGTAGCTGTCCCAGAATCATAAGCCAAATAAACCTCTCTTCTTTATAAATTACCCAGTTTCAGGTATTCTGTTATAGCAACACAAAACAGACTATTACAGCTAGGGAAAACGTGGTATAACAGTCTTATACTTAAGTGATGTATTTGTGAAGGTAAATCTGTTGGCATTTGTTTTTAATAGAACACACCAGTTGCAGAAAAAAACCAAGACTCTGCAGACATCCTTTCAGCTTGCGTATCTGAACCATCACAGCTTTCTCAAGGATTTATTTGTCCTATGTCTATAGATCAAAAGGACACTACTCCTTATTCTAGCAAACTTCTAAAATCATGTGAGTATAAAAGAAGAGGTAGTTTATCCATTAAATGTATTCTTTGAAGAACAAAACATTTTCAAATTTTTGAATTTCTAATATCAATTTAATTTTGTTGTTGTTGTTGTTGTTAAAAAGATGACCGGTAAGGGAATCTTAACCCTTGACTTGGTGTTGTCAGCACCACACTCTCCCAAGTGAACTAACTGGCCATCCCTATATAGGGATCCAAACCCACGGCCTTGGTGTTATCAGCACCACACTCTCCCAAGTGAACTAACTGGCCATCCCTATATAGGGATCCAAACCCACGGCCTTGGTGTTATCAGCACCACACTCTCCCAAGTGAACTACAGTTTTAATAATTTTAAAATGCAAATACTTGAACTGTCTGTGACATTCCTGTATTTCACTATGTAAATACCATTTCTGACAGAGATTATGAGAGATCTTTAAGTCAACAGAATAAAAAGTCTAGCTAATGATACATCCTTCAATTACCTATAATATTGGAATGATCACTGGGTAAATTTCACTATACTGGGTTTATGGAAATCATATACGGAGAAGATGTAGTGCCTGTAATATTGTGTGTCTTTATAAATTTATTTCCAAAAGATTTTGAGGTAGCTTAAGTTTAAAAACTCAGAATCAAGATATTTTTGCATACAATAAAAGACAAATGTCAAGTAGTAGAGGAGGAGAGTGGGACAGTGTTGCTTTGCTTTGCTTCACCCCCCACGGATTTGTCACCCCACTTCCCCTGGGTGACAGAGATGCAAAGGATTACTCAAAGCCCGTCTCTTCTGAGCAGTGAGAGGCCCTGAAGAGGTTGACTTCCCAGGCACCCTCCAGTGAGAGGCAGCTCTTCCTTGGGAAATTAACACCGAATTGGGGTTCTCTTCCTGCATTTATTTTCCAGACCAGGAAGTTACAGGAAGAGACATAGGTGGGGTTATAGTTTAACAGTATAGGCTGGTAACTTTCAGTGAAACAAGCCAGATGACATTCCAGTAAGGCAATTAACAAAAGCTTGATCTTTGCAAACATTCCTTCCTACAGCAATCTCTCAGTATCTTTACATAACAATCAGTAACTAGTCTATCTTTGAGCCAGCAATCTGCTGTGCCACAAATCTTTTAAACCAGAGACTTATAGCCTGAGGAAAATTTCCTGTTCTTGCAAAGTGAATATTTGAAACTGCAAGGCTGGGCCGGCCCGTGGCTCACTCGGTAGAGTGCGGTGCTGATAACACCAAGGCCCCGGGTTCGGATCCCACATAGGGATGGCCGGTTCGCTCACTGGGTGAGCGTGGTGCTGACAACACCAAGTCAAGGGTTAAGATCCCCTTACCGGTCATCTTTTAAAAAAAAAAGAAACTGCAAGGCTTTGGAAAACCAGGCCCTGTGAAGTACATATGCTTTTTAGTATATTCCATAGGACAGACTTAACATTTGTATAACACTTGACTTCACCCATTATAACTTAGTGACAGTGGACAATTTAGTTCCCTGAGCTCATGTTCTTCACCTTAGGAATGTGAATAATGCTTTGAAGGGTAATTGGTGTTACTCAGTTTCATAGATGTGACCACATTTTGATTTTGGTCCTCAACAAATCTGTACATATCTAGGACATAAATAGTATTATCTCCTTTTTTCAAATGAAAAAACTAATATTTGAAAGTAATATCTGAAAAGTAATATTTGAAAATAGTTATACACTAGTAAGTGGGTAAGCAAAGTCTTGATTGTAAGTATAAACCTCTAATGAGTCTTATGATGGTTGAAAAAAATATATAGCTTTGATAAACAGAAGACTGTTAAAATAAAAAATATGCCAATGTTATTTATAACCTTATTCTTCAGGAAAAATAATTGTATCTCCTTTAGTCGTTCTTTAATCTCGTCAGAACTAGGTAGGTGCAAGGCATTGTGCTGGGTCACTTGAGTGAATATGAAAATGAGTAAGAGAGGTCCTGGTTTCAGAAAAACTTGTAATTTTGTGGTGAGGACTGAGATAAAGGGATAACAATAACAACCCTATAAAATAAATGCCACAGGAGGGATACAAGATGCAACATATGAAGTGATAGATGCTAACTGGGAAGAATCTGGAATGGTTCTAAATAAAGATATAGTGACAACCACACTGGACCCAGAAAGGGAAGCAGGAACTTCATAGCTACAAGTATAGTGAAAACAGGCATTTCATATAGGGGCAGTAGCATCTGCAAAGGCACAGACATATGGAAGTATATTCCAGCTTTGGACCATAGGGACTAAATGTGATGCATGGGAATGGGAAGCATATGCAATGGGGAGGGAAGTTTGGCAGGTAGATGGGGAAGGATCAAGGGTCATTACAAGAATGCTAAGATTTAAGCTGTAGAAAACAGGGAGCTGTCAAAAGTTCCAAAGTAGGCGATGATTGGATCATATCAGTAATGCAAATAGAACTCATTGGCAGGTATACAGTATGCACATGACATTTAATTTAGACACAAGTTCCCATGTAACTTGGGGAAGGCAGCTGAGCAGTTTAGTCAAATCAAGGTCAGTGTCCAGTCAGTTTCAGGAATTCCATTGAGAGGATTTGTGTGCCAAAAAGAAAGTTGACTAGATGGACTTCAAAATTCTTCTTTCAGCTTTAAAGTTCTACAACTTATTAGATCTAAGACTAAGAATTTCCTTGAGATTAAGATCATGTTCACTCTTTTTGGGAAAGAGAGAACAATATATACATATCTTCTTATATACACATTAAACTCTGTATATCAACATATGATCATTAGTAAAAGTGCAGTTGTCTTACTGTGTCTAATTATAAATTGAGAAGTAACCATTTTTAGCACCATTATTTATTTATATACAATAAAGGAGCAAATATCATGTAGATGGTGCTACTTTATTGCATTGGCTTGCTATTAACTGATTTACCATTATTTATTTGCTTTATCTAGTAGTGTTAAGAAAACCCCTTATGGATGTGTATAATTCACATTTCTAAGCACATGAACCTCAGTGTTACAATAAAGTTACAGTTTTAATTAAATACAAGTTGAATTGAGTAAATTTAATCACATTCTAACCTTATAGCACATCAGTGACGCTCCTTTATCAAGAATAATTTCAAATTGGATCATGGATGCTCAAAATTGATTTCTTCCTAATTATAAATTAATTCCCTTGTCCCAATTTTTACTTTACGAATGTTAAGGGGATTTTGTTTTTTTTTTTTTTTTTTTTTTTGTCCTTTTTGAGACCGGCCACACCGCGCTCAGCCAGTGAGCGCTGTGAGCGAACCGGTCATCCCTATATAGGATCCGAACCCGCGGCAGGAGCACTGCTGCGCTCCCAGCGCCACACTCTCCTGAGTGCGCCACGGGCTTGGCCCTGTTTTGTTCTAACTTTCAGAGCAGTCCTTGTATTTGTAACCATTTATGCATTTAAACATAATGAGAAGTATTCCAGAAATACCTGCAGCCGTTCTTGTGCACTGGATAGTATTTAACTAATTATTGCCAAAGTTAATTATCTCTAAAGATTCAGGTTCAGTAAGGAACAAAGAAGGCTGTGCAATAAGCTTCAATATTTTCTCTTCCATACAGGTCTTGAAACACTTGCCTGCAATCCAGATATACCTGTGAAGTGTCTAACTTCTAATCTACTACAGTCTAGGAAAAGGCTGGCTACGTCCAGTGCCAGTAGTCAGTCCCATACCTTCATATCCAGTGTGGAATCAGAATGCCACAGCAGTCCCAAATGGGAAAAGGATTGCCAGGTTAGAGGGAAATTTATCTTAATTTATTAATTAATTAAATTTATCACTTTTTTTGTGCTTCCAAAATCAATTATGTACATCAAATTAATGATAGAAACACTATACCTTTTCATGTAAATTCCATAGGAAGTAAAATTGTTACATGAGTGGCAGTCAAGGTAATATAAAAGATTCTTAATTTTCCTGTATATTCTGTGAAATTCTTTGGAAATATTTCTCATTCACTTGCAAAATTGTTCTTTGTTTGTTTTGTTTTTTTAAAAGATGACCGGTAAGGGGATCTTAACCCTTGGCTTGTTGTTGTCAGCATCACACTCTCCCAAGTAGGCCAGCCTGTTCTTGTTTGATGTATAATGAGATTCTTGCAGTAAATTGATAGTAAATGTTTGGCTTCTAGGTGGACTTTTTTTTTTTTTTTTTAACTTCCCTACAATGATATAGACATTACCTTCTTGGTTTTTTGGTTTTTTTTTTTTTTTTTAACTTCCCCACAATGATATAGACATTCCCTTCTTGGTTTTTTGGTTTTTTTTTTTTTTTTTAACTTCCCCACAATGATATAGACATTCCCTTCTTGGTTTTTTGGTTTTTTTTTTTTTTTTTAACTTCCCTACAATGATATAGACATTACCTTCTTGGTTTTTTGGTTGTTTTTTTTTTTTTTTTTTTCCCCACTTATGTCATTTTAAACTCTACTAACTTGTATACTGTTCTCTACTAATGTGTATACTGTTTTCCACCAGTTTCTCATGTAATGGAATGGTAACTCTTTTGGATCAGAAATTACTTTTAGACCACAAAATGTGGGTATACGCCCTTAAAAGTATCTGTTCTGAGGAGATTGTTTGCCAAATGAATGGATTTACTTAAAGTTCTTTTACTTAATTTATATACTCTGCTTTTGCCTTTTTAAAATTATTAAAGCTAATAGGTATTAAAAATTTTAGGAACTAAAATTTAAAATTATAATAAAGTCTTCATAGAATGCTGATAAATGTTAGATTAGAATAACTGTAATACACAAAGATTAAAACTTCCATTTGATAAATAATTTGGATTGTATTTGCTCCTTATTTTCAGTAGTATGATATTCTTTATTATTGCTGGATATATGTATTTTTATTAGCAAGGTCAACTTAACTCTTAGTTAAGGCAGAGTTTCTCAATATTTTTTTTTCTTTCCTTATACGCTGTAGTATAGCTAATGCTGCAGGACAAACATTTCCATTCTTAGTATTGCTGTTTCACTTCTTCCCTATTCAAGAAAGCATACTGTGTACTACTTCAAACTACACACAACTTTACCTTTTTCCTCCCACTTCTGTATCCCTGAAGAATGCAATGATCAGATTATAATAGCACTTCTCAAGTTATGATCAGAGTGATATGATAATGAGCCATAAAGGACCCTCTGATAAATCTTGTACTGATCCCCAGATGCATCATTTTCTGAGCTTGCAGATAAGTGAGCTGTAATTTGGAATATTCTTTTTGCTTGTGACTAAGTGCTCCTTATTGTTACTAAGTAAGCTAATGATAGTTAATAAAGTTTGATATTCACAGATCAAAAATAGGCACTATTAGACTTTGCTGAAGACTCACTCTAATTGAGTAATCTTGTAAAAATCCTGATCACTGTGCATCAATTTGCAACACTATCTGCAAAGGTCTGAGTGCACATGAGCACCCACAGATATTTGGAATTCAGTTTTCAAAGCATTTTGTTACCAGTTCATAATCAGTTCATTTTGTTGACAAAGAATTTTAATTTCTGCTATTTTTGTTAATTATAAGTTATTATTAGTTTAACTTCATTCTTATCAGCTTGATTTTATTATACTTGTGTGAAGTTAATACATGTTTACATTAACAATATTTTTGACCTGTAGTTTTTCATTGACTAGACTTCAAGCCCTGTGCATTTTGCAATTCCAAACAGAATGATCCATACCCCTATTGCAAAGCAGACATATATATATATATATATATACGTATGAGGATACTTCAAAAAGTTCATGGAAAAGTGGAATTAAAAGACAATACAAGGCCGGCCCGTGGCTCACTCGGTAGAGTGCGGTGCTGATAACACCAAGGCCACAGGTTCGGATCCTATGTAGGGATGGCCGGTTTGCTCACTGGCTGCGCATGGTGCTGACAACACCAGGCCAAGGATTGAGATCCCCTTACCGGTCATCTTTATAAAAAAAAAAAAAAACAATACAAAGCTTTCCATGAACTTTTTGAAGTACCCTCATAATGTAGCCTTACTTCGAAATTTGCCTGAATATGAATACCTATTAATTTGTTCTGTTTAAGTAACATGTAATACACTATCAAAGTAAGTATTATAGAATAATTGATTTAAATTTTAGGCCAGTGTTTCATTCAACATAATATGTATAAGCTTGTACTAGAATTGTTTATATTGCTTTTTATTTTATTTATTCATTTATTTATTTATTTCGGGGCAGCTGGCCAGTACAGGGATCGAATCCAAGACTTATATTGCTTTCTAATTCTGTTATCATTGTTCTTTTGTTCAATTTAAAAGTGGGAATAGGTAGCATAGTAGTATATGGGGTCATTTATCCTACCTAAGTGGACCGAGGTTAAAAAGGTCAAAGAATCTCAGCTTTATATAACTAAAACAAGTATTTTTTTCTCCTCTTAGGAAAATGATGAGGCATTGGGCTCTACAAGGATGAGTTGGAATACAGTTGAAAAGTTATGTGAAAAACCTACAGATGCCATTGAGACTAAAAGTTTTAATAAAAAGGATCTTGAGTTAGTCCTTTCTCCCATTCATAACAGTAGTGCCAATCCTACCACTGGGATCTCTTGTGTAAACCTTGCTAAAAAATGCTTCTCTGGGGAAGTTTCTTGGGAAGCAAGAGAACTTGATATAAATAATATAAATATGGCCACTGACACAAGACAGCCTGGTTTCTATCAGTCAGATCAGTGGGCTATGGATTCTGGTGTCATGTCTGAAGAGCACCTTGGGAAAAGAAGTTTAAAAAGAAATTTTGAGTTGATTGACTCCAGTCCTTGTCAGGAAACTATACAGAATAAAAAAATTTGTGCAGAGTATAAGCATTGTAATGACATGATAGATTGTTACACAAATCAAAGTACAGGCTTAACAGCCGAAGTCCAGGGCCTGAAGATTTCAATATATAGAAGTCAGCAAAATGACTGTGCTAATAAGGAGAAAGGAGCGCCGCCGCGCTTCCCAAGCGGCGCACTAGCGCAGTGCGCCACCGGGCCGGCCCCCTATATACTTTTCTAAGAAAACACAACCACATATTTTCACTTGATCACAGCAATACTGTGAGATACAAAATTAAAGTCTACTTTACTACTGCCTTCCAAGGACGTATTTGGATGGTCTCTTTTCTTCATATACAAAAAGTTGAAAAATATATATTTCAAATCTTGTTTTTATTTTCTAAACCTTTATAAACCCAGAGTTTCACTTTTTTTTCTTCCTTTGGAGAGACATCATAATATAAAATGTGTAAACCCAGAATTTAGGTTATGATACGTGGGTTTTCTGTCCAGAACTTATTAAGTCACTTAGAAGTCCCTTAACCTCAGAGCCTCTGTTTTTCCAGCTTTCTAGGGGATAATCTAGACCTGTCCTGCTAGTCTCACAAGATTGTTGTGAGACAGCAAATTATCTTAAGAACTTTTAAATGCCATTTAGTACAAGAGGTTATTTATATTTGGTTCTATCTTATATATTGTCCTAATAATTCAATCATTTGTCAATTACAGCCTTCCTCAATGTCTGTTCTTAAGCTTGTATTAATCCATGCTATCAAGAAATTTTTCTTATGGATTTTTTCATTGTTTCTTGCATATACAGATCTTATTGAGATAGTGGGTGTTATCTAAGCTACTGAACTTCATTACATATAAGGACTTTTTCATAATTGTAACTAGGTCTGAGTCCATTCTCAAACCTGATCAAGGATTTGAGTAAATGCCTAGCAGCCTATGATATAGCTTTGTTTGTTTGTTTTTGAGGATTTCTATTCATTGTAAAAACAATTAAGATATTTGTTGTCTCTTAAACTCTTTTTGAATTAGCAGACCCCGAATCAGATCAAGTCAGGAACTCCATACCGAACTCCAAAGAGTGTGAGAAGAGGGGCAGCCCCAGTGGATGATGGGCGAATTCTAGGAACCCCAGACTACCTCGCACCTGAGCTGTTACTAGGCAGGACCCATGGTAAGGCATGCATGTCCTGAGTTTTTGAAGTGTTATCTATCACTACATTATCTTTTGAAGTAAAATTGATTTAAATTTCTTTATTAGATTACCTAAAATAAAAGAAAATGAACTTATGCAATACTCTTTTCTCATGCATATGTCATTTATTATAGGAAAAGAAAAAAGAAATGGCCAGGGCTGTCTTATTCTCTGATTGTAAAAGACCAGACGCTGAAGGACATGTTGTCATTTGTCATTGGCCTTCTGGTTTAGTCTCAAGGATCCAGAGAAGCCCCACGTCCCATTCTCTATATTGTCTTTGTTCCAAACGTTTCTTCAAGCATGATCTAGTTTGAGCTCAGGACTACAGTGCTAGGCCTAAACTTCTGTTCAGTCTGCAGAAGCCTATTCCTGTTTACAACTTACCCTCACTTATATCCTCATCAAAGGGTCAAACCAGAAATGAACCATCCTTCAAAATGGAACTTAAGAAAGGAATAAAAAGATGACTTTTCACCTATCTTCTTTTCTTCTCTTTCCTCTCTGAAAAAATTTCCCTTCCTACATTCTGAAGTGAACTGTATGCATTTCCTAGAGATGCTGTAACAAAGTACCACAAACTGGGTGGCTCACAGTTTTGGAAGCTAGAATTCTAAAATCAGGGTGTTGGCAGGGCTATGCTCCCTCTCAAGACTGTAGGGGAATCCTTGCTTGCCTCTTCCTAGCTCATGGTGGTTTGCTGGCAGTCTTTGGTGTTCCTTGATTTGGAGATGCATCGTTCTGATCCTCCCTCTTCATATGGTGGTGCCTCCCTGTGTCTCTATCATCACATGGCTGACTTCATATAAGGATGCCAGTCATACTGGATTAGGGGTCCATCCTACTTTAGTGTGACCTCATCTTAACCTAATAAATTACATCTATAATGACCCTATTTCCAAATAAGGTCACATTCTGAGGTACTGGGGATTAGGACTTTAACATAGTTTTTGGGGGGATACACAATTCAACCCATAACATGAACCCCTTCTTCTACATCTTGATGTTAATTTCTTTCCTTTTCTTTGGGCTCCTTTCATGACTGTCTGTTTCATCTTCTTCTCACGCTCCTTCTATTTTTATTTCTTTGTCTGCTTTTTTCTTCAACCTGAAAATAAGTTCCCACCCTTGTTTTCACCTCATTGCCTAACTTCTCAAAGGTTGCCTCTTCTTTGCCTGTTTATTTTTGCTCTGGCAATTTGATTAAAATTTCTCAGTAGTTTCTTTAGGAAACTTTTCTTACAGATCACAATGATGTCCTTATTGTCAAATCTAACAATCTCCTCAGTCTCATCCTCTTACCTCTGTTGCTCCTCTTCAGTTTCCTCATTTCTTGTAAATACAGTAGTACAGAAGTTCTTCAGGGTTCTGCTCTTTACTCTTTTTTCCTACACGTGCTTCCTGTTAATCTCTTCACTCCTGTGACTTCAGTTGTCACCTCCATGTTGATGATTTCCAAATCTCTCTCTCTAATCCTTTTCTCTTGTCAGCAGACACGACCAAACTGCCGAGTCAATATTCTACTGGTCTTTCAAATGTTGTGTGTCAAACTGGACTTGTCATTCAGCTTGCTCTTCCTCTGTTGCCTGTCTCAGTTTCACCATTTTCATGGTGACACAGTCATTGTCCCTACATTCAGGCATTTAAATCCAGTTAATTAAATCTCTGCAGCATTGCTCCTCTCCTTTTCATCTCTGCCACTGTTCTTTGTAAGAACTTCATCTTTCTCTGTCATTACTTTAATGGCTTTCTATCTGGTCTCCTCAACTTCATTCTATTGTCTATAATCATTGCAAGCAGATTTTTCTTCCTTAACCATACATGGTTCATTTTGCTTCCCTCCTCAAAAAGCTATGGTGGCTTCCTCTTAGCTACTGAATAAAATCCAAATTTCTCATCACGACATTTGAGGCTCTCAGCTCTCATACCAGCTTCATCTCTCAAAGAATTCCTCTATATGCCTTATGCTCTCATTCCATTTCTTAATGAAATACATTTAGTTTTCAGGTCTCTTACTTTGCATCTGTATTTTGCCTTGGTTGAGAAGAGCCAGTTTCCAATTATCTTCTGGTCAAATGTCTTCTCATCCCATCATCAGTTCAAATGTTACCTCTTCCATAAAGCATCCCTTGATCAACTACTGAGAATTACTCACTTCCATATCACCTTATTAGAAACTGTTTACAACATATGTCATTGTGCCTGTGTTGTAATTAGTTGTTATGTTTGTCTCCACTACAAAAGGTTAAGAAAATTTCCTAAAAGCAGGGTGTGAATTTTCTGCCTTCTACATAACTCTCCTAAATTCCTTGGAAGTACTCAGTAACTATTGTTAATAATTTCTACAGTATTAGAAATAGACACATTTAGTATTCCCCTTTTGCTCTTAGGCAAAGCAAGTTCCTATGAACGCTTAACTGATTTTTGTACAGTGCCCTTTTTGCTAATTCACAGATTTGCTAGTCCATTTTCTATATTATAATTCGTATTATCTCTAACTTAAGATAGAGTGTGAAAGTAAGCTTCAAATTTAAAGATTCTATAGGATCTTGATACTATTTTAGCAAGACATCTAGCTACCTCAGCTAAACAATATCCTAAGGCTCAACTGTGACCTCCCTGATATCCTCCATGGTTTTGCCCCTCAGCCAAGCTGACTTAGGGACTCTCTCTTGAGTTTCCTACACCTTCTTGTGCGTATTTTTGTTTCAGCTCTTCTAACACTGTGTTAAAATTATCTATATTGTCTCTCCCAGAGCAGGTGGTTTTCTCCTTGGGGAAAGATCTTTTTCTTAATCACCTTTATATTCCTTATGTCTGGCACAATAGCTGGTGCCCTGGTCATTGAATCTTGAGGGAATGAACTCATAGTTTTAATACAATGTACCTAATACTGTTTCCTTACATGCAGGATTTCTGACTTCGGGTAAGTGAGTTTCTCTATAAAGTAAGATGGCAAAGCATATTAAACTGAAGAGTCAAAGTATAACTAGATCACATTGCACAAAAAAAGTTCTTCCCTTTCAGCTCACTTATGAAATAAAAAAATGAGCTGTCTTCTATATTCTGAGCAGGACATCAGAGAGATGGTTCTTCTCTATGAAAATAACTATAGGCATGTGGCATTTTTCATAATTTTTAAAGGTAGCATATAGTGAAGATACAGCTTTTTTTAGTTAAAACAGGAAATAGTCTTGATAAAAATATTAAAATTAGGAACTATGAAAGGGCTTGAATTTTCTAAATCTTTTCATTATTACTAGAAAACAATATCAATGTCAATATATTTCTACAAGTTACAGAATTGGGTTTTGCATTAGAAAGCCAGTAGTATAAAACAAGTTTGTTGTTTTTCTCTGGTTAATAATATATATTATAATTGCTAAGATTTATCACAATATGTGATCTTATTAGACTTTGACTTAAGTATATGGGTATGTGTGACATATCCATGGAGAAATCTTGTATGTTTTTAACATGAGTATGTTTTGGCTGAGCTGGGAAAAGGGTTCTAATTTCTAACCTAAGTAAAACAAATAAAAATGTGTCTTTTCCCTGATTTCTCCCTTCTTTTCTGTTATTTGGTTATATTATCTAATCCATTGGAACAATTCTTTCTCAGTGCTGCTTACAGTTCTACTAACTGAGGTGGTCTGTACGTTTTTATAGTGATTACCGTAGAAATAGAAGCCTATAGACTATTTGCATCTTTTGTTCCTTAAAGGGAAGATGGGATTACATGGCTTGCAGGTAAAAAGGCACTCTAAATGCATGCAATTATTTTTGCTAATGGCGGATTCCACAGGGCTTTCTTGTTTTAAAATAGAATGGTGGCAGTCGCATAACCACAATAATGAACTTTAAGAAATTGTCTTTAAACAGCAATTTGTAGGCAAATTTTGCACTAGACTAGAATTTTTATTCTAAATTTATATTGAAGTTAACCATTTTTCAGCTAAAATTAGCCTTTGTTTAGGAAATACTTTATTTACAGGCAGAACTAAACAAAAGTATACACCAGTTTATAAGGTAATATTTAAAATTGGGACTGGCCAGTTAGCTTGGTTAGAGAGCAGCCTATAACACCAAGGTCACGGGTTGGGATCCTTGTAACAGCCAGCAGCAAAAAAAAAAAAAAGGAGGGAGAGACATAACCCCAGGGTCACAGGTTCAGATACCCATACCGCCAGCAGCCAAAAAATACATATAAAATCAATGTTAAAAACTTAATTGTATATAAATGTTGCTTCCAGTAAAGATGTTGTTTGGAAATCAGTTTTACCTATTTATTAAGACTTATCGGGCCGAGCCCCTGGCACACTCGGGAGAGTGCGGTGCTGATAACACCAAGGCCACGGGTTCGGATCCCATATAGGGATGGCCGGTTAGCTCACATGGGAGAGCATGGTGCTGACAACACCAAGTCAAGGGTTAAGATCCCCTTACCGTCATCTTTTAAAAAAAAAAAAAAAGACTTATCTAATTTCCTCTGCAAGCCATAGTTTAAGTGAATATTCTTTGTTACACTAAATAGTTCCTCTCCTCTACGTCCTTAAAAGGAATAAAGCCACATTAAAACATTCTGTAATTAAGGCTTTCCCTAGTTACCATGCTATCCTCCAATTAGTATAAATGTTTCTGCCTCATCTCATACCTTGTGCGAAAAAAGTGGAATGCAGAAAAATCATCTAAATGTTATCATTTCCTGATGTGAAATTGAGAAGTCATCTACCTATTTTAGAGAATAACTTTTAGGTTAAATGCACTCCTTGGTGCTATTTTAGGATTTAGAACACATAAACTATATAGAATATCAGAAGTTATTAACAAATGAAAAAGATGGCTTTAACTTTTCTTTAACTAGCTGTGGTAATTGCTAATCTAACCTGGAAGATAGAAAGTAATATCACATTGCTTAAATGAAGGTAATTTGGGTTTTGTACTTTATGAAGACAGAAGAAAGACTTAGGCGATGAATGCCTTGATTATGCCCAAATATCCATGTATTAATATTTTAGTTCATCAAATATTCATAGAAAATGCTTGCAAGTTCAGCTGCTTCCTCTTAAATTCTAGGTCCTGCAGTAGACTGGTGGGCACTTGGAGTTTGCTTGTTCGAATTTCTAACAGGAATTCCCCCTTTCAATGATGAAACATCACAACAAGTATTTCAGAATATTCTGAAAAGAGGTGATTCTTTTTCTCCTATTAAGGTATATTCATCTCTCTCAGTGCATTATTTTGAGCAGTGATTAACAAGATTATTTGTAAATTTGTAGATATCCCTTGGCCAGAAGGTGAAGAAAAGTTATCTGATAATGCTCAAAGTGCAGTGGAAATGCTTTTAACCACTGATGATTCAAAGAGAGCTGGAATGAAAGGTATGGTTTTGTGTTAAGCTTGTTCATGATTTGTTCCAGTTGGTGAATAGTAATAAAAATATCAAGTTTCAATACAATACTACAGAAAATCTGACTGCTAAATCGGTACTAAAATAATTCAGTTTATTTTTGCCCTCTAGATATACATTGATCTATTTGTCCTTATTCTACATTAAAATCCCATGTGGCCAAGTTGCAATATTCACACATTGAATTTTATTAATCTCAAGCAGGCACCTGAAACAATCTCATTAGTGTCTTGGGTGTTTCAAAGCCTGATAAAGTTAACCATCAACAAATTCAGGAAATCTCTTCTGTTCTGTAATTTCCTGTTGCTTCATTTCTGATACTTTTATTCATTGACCAATGTATCAGGTCCCGGGTTGCCTCAAATAAGACAAACTTGGTACATTATGAACCATTCAATGGTTTTCTCAATGCAGGGGTATATTAAACCCTAATTTCAAAACTCTAGTGAATCTCATTGGCAGCTGCCTTAAAATTCTCTTTGTAAGGAGCCGGCCCGGTGGCACACTCGGTAGAGTGCGGCGCTTGGGAGCGCGGCGGCACTCCCGCCGAGGGTTCGGATCCCATATAGAGACTGGTCCGCTCACTGGTTGAGCGCGGTGTGGGCGCGACACCGAGGGTTGCGATCCTGTTACCGGTCACAAAAAAAGACAAAAAGGAGAAAAAAAAAAATTCTCTTTGTAACAAGGTGAGGTAATAATATAGAGACAAATAAGCATTATGTTCCAAAATTCATTTCCGTGTGAAGTAGGGTATATTTAAAAAATAACTTTAGAAATATGTCGTTGGCATCAGCTTCTAGGTGTTCCCTCTAATAAGATCAACTGTTTGTTTATTGATTTAACGGATCCTATAGAGTGACTTCTACCTGCTCCAGACAGTGGGAGAACTCTAGGGATAAACTAGACTCAAATCCCTGTCCTCCTGGAACTTACATTCTAGTGGAAAGACAGACAGTAAACAAAATACAGCCATAACATAATGTCATGATGCCATGTAGTGGTAAGTACTATGAAGAAAAATAAAGCGGAGTGAGAAGATACATTCTCTTTGTATGGCGGGATTTTTTTTAGATAGGGTGGTCAGGATGACCTCTGTAAGGACTCGGATTGGAGCAGAAACCTATGTAAAGTGAGGGAGCAGACATTTGAAAACTCAGCTCTAACTTTCTCAAGACAATTAAGACTTAAATTAAGCTGTTTGAAACACACAGATACCCACAAATTTCAACTCCAAACATTGTGCATTGGTTTCGGACATATTGAATCCTTGCAATGTTATTTCAGAATAGATCTGAGTGTCTGAAAGCAGCATATCGGTCAGATTGCTATTATAAAACACTATCATTCATGAGGGGGATTAGTCATCCTTTTTTTTTAAAGCTAATTCTTATTGAATACCTAATGTATGCTAAGCCCTAACTTACTTAATCAGTCTCAAATTGAGTAAAGACTTTATTATTAATAGGACTCTAGACATCGACTTATTATATTGCTGGTTGGAAAAGTATTCTATCAGCGTGAAGCACATTTGAGGCAAAAACAATTGCCAGCTTAAAAGAGAGAAAAAATTAGAGATAATTAATGGTAATATCTAAAACTTACAATTCTTTCTGGCCACATTCATGTAGCAATAGTTTTCAGAAGTGAAAGTTTCAGGCTATAGTGATATTCTAATGGGCTAAGTATTGTGTGCTGGAATGATTCTCGAATTTTTCTGCTGACAGGAGCATTTAATGAAGCAGAAAACTTGTAGAAGTGACTAGTAATCTATGATATCTGGGTATGATGGGAAGCGTTATGATCCTGTCATCATAACTCATTCATTTATTTTTAAACTGAACCCACAAAGGAATTCTAGTTTAGTTTGTGTTGAAGCAACTGTTTTTTAACTGAAAAATACCCCTGTCATCTACTTTGCTATGTAAATTGTTCATCAGAGAAACAAAAATCTGTGGTGTCATTAGTAAGAATGTTGTTCTTCTGCCCCACTTATTTTGAGCAAATTACAATATATAATAGCCATTTTCTAAAGAATGGTTCCCAACTCCAGCATAATTGACGTTTGGGGGCAGATAATTCTTTGTTGTGGGGACTGTCCTGTGCATTGTAGGATGTTTAATAGAATCCCGGGCTTCTACCCACTGTATGCCCCCAGTCGTGATAACCAAAAATGTCTCCAAACAATGCCAAATGTCCTTTGGAGGGCAAAATCACCCCAGTTGAAAACTGTTTTCTAAAGTAATTTTTCAAATATCCCATGCTGTTATTTATTTTGAACATTAAGAAACAAATGCTGTAAATGTGAATTATTTTTACTATTTTATCCCTTTTCCTACTGTAATAGTTTAGGGGAAAATCAACTTGTAAACATATTGATCTCCCAACCCATCATCCCCAATACAGACACATTATTCTTTCCTATCTGTGTAGTCTTCTTCTAACGTTTTCCTTAAATTTGGGTACGTTTGGGAAGGGGGTGCTTTTTACTGCCTTTATTATTACTTTGTTGTTTGTCAGCATCTTTATTGTTGCCTTATAAAGTGAAGGGTTGGGGCCGGCCTGGTAGCGCACTGCTACAGTGCACCGCTTGGGAGCGCGGCGGTGCTCCCGCCGAGGGTTCGGATCCCACATACAGACCGGCCGCTCACTGGCTGAGCGAGGTGCGGGTGCAACACCGAGGGTTGCGATCCGTTGCCGGTCACGAAAAAAGACAAAAAGGAAAAATATAAAATAAAATAAAAAAAATAAAGTGAAGGGTTGAAGAGAGGAAAAGTTATGATTAGCAACTAAATATCACAGTGTAGTCAAAAGAGCATATTTTGTTTTCACTAGGTAAAAAGAAATAGGAAAGATGACAAGTAATGTAGTTAAAGAGGTGAGCAAAGTCTGAGATCTTGTAAGCAGAGCAGTGCTGTGATGTAAAGATTCTGGATGTAGACATACTGCTACACAGTCAGTACGTTGTAGAGATGCAAGCTGGTGAAAACAAGGAAGTCAAAGAACCATGAACAGAATGTGTCAGAAGTGTCATCGATGTATTTGTTGAAATCACCATGAAGCATAAGGATGAAGCATAGGGAAGAAAGTAAGGGAGTGGAGGATGAGCTTCATGCCAAAGTTATCTAGGGCAATAGATAGCGCTAAGGATTGCAGTGATACAAACAGGTGGCAAGACCTTGGAATGAGAATTGGAGATCAAGAATTAATCATGGAAGATCAGGAATACGGAAGGTGTATCAGGGAGCAAGAAGTAGGCCAAATCCTCTTCTGTCAAATCAGGGATTGTGATGCAGGCTGGTAGAACAATAAGCTTCTGTTAAGATAAACCATTCATTCATTCGTTTGACAAATATAACCCAGGCACCTGTCATATGCCTAGTGTAAAGTATGTAGCCTAATAGGGACACAAATACTAAACAAATGTCTGTAAAACTGGCATAATAAAGTGGGGCAAGGTATATGTGAGACATTCTCTTTTTAATTCCTATAAAATAGTACTTATTTAGGCAATGGTGTCATAATATTGTTTTGTTTTATATTTTTCCTAAGAGCTGAAACATCATCCTCTCTTCAGTGATGTGGACTGGGAAAATCTGCAGCATCAAACTATGCCTTTCATACCCCAACCAGATGACGAAACAGATACATCCTATTTTGAAGCCAGGAATAATGCTCAGCACCTGACTGTATCTGGATTTAGTCTATAGCACATAAATTTTCCTGTTAGTCTAACCTCGTGTTGTGGAATAAGCTGACGTAATTATATACTCCTTAATACTAGACTGATCTAAGGGCAAAAATGATTATTTTACCTGGGCCAATGAGCTTGTAATGTATGTGACACCTTTCACAGAGTTCAAAGGCTATAAGGAATATAATCAGTAATTTATCTTAATCTCATGACTGTATATAAATTTTCAAAGCTTTTTTCACCGTATTTATTTTGTTTACTGCACTTTATGAAAAGCAAAGCATCAATAAAACTAGAATGACACTACTACTATAGAGAGAGAGCCATAAACTTGATTTTCTTTCTCCTTATCCGTTGATTTCAGTGCACCATTCAGCTTGGTGTTAAAATATCAAAAAAATTGTAGTTTCATTTGAATGTAATTTTACTTGCACATCATTGCCTGCAAAAGCTGTGGTCTCAAGGACAATCCTTTAAGGCCACATTTGTGACCTCAAAAATGCAACTAGAAAATTCCTTGGCTCAATAATGTAACTCCTTTGGGGAATGAGCAGTGAATAAAAGGACTAAGATTACTTTATTGATGATACAGTTTTGCTGCCCTGACTGCTTCTGGTGCTCGCTCTACAATAGGTGTTTGTTTAAAATAGTCCTGGAATGGTTAGTTGTGATATACTCTAGCAATTTTAATAGCTTGTTCAATTATAATAGAAAATGTAATGCTTTACATTTAGAGTCATTTGTTTAAAACATTATGAGAAATGGACTTATCCTTTTAAAAAAAAAACAATTTACTTTTGCATAGTAAATATAACTGTAACAAATAGATTATCTGTCAACATTATTCTTTTAAAAATATATATAGCCAAGATTCAGCTTCACAAATCATCTTAAATCCACTGAGGTTTCAGCATACTTAACCCCCAGATGAGCAAAGTTCAAATTTAAATGTAGCATATGTGAGTTTTCTGCTAATAATCTATTAAATACTATTGTTCCTTTTGCACATTGGCTTTAGTGTTTTTACTTTCCATTACACCAGTACAAGCCCTGTTACAATGTAGTAGATAAAGATAAGTTTCAAACTGTTACAGTGAATGATATTACCATTATAATCAGTGCTATATAATTGAATCCATAGGTTAATGGTTTTACTGAGCTTGTTTTAGTAATGACTACTTAGATCTGATTCTCCCAATAGTCACCCTTTCTAATGTTCAAAATACCATTGTTACAACTCAATTAATATGAATTACATCTTTCTCTTTAATTAGGTGAAAGCACAGAATTATCTATTGCCCTCCTTACTACCAAGTAGCTAAAAGAAAAAAGTCTTTGGGATCAAGCACAAATAGTACAAACCATCACTTTGTCACGTTAAAAGGCCTTGGGCAGGTTAAACTCAGCCACTGACGGCTCACCTGTGTATTGGAGATATATCTATATCTATATATAGATATATATATAGATATATATATATATATATCTATATATATCTATATATATATATCTATATATATATCTATATATATAGTGATTACTTTGGAGAGTTAGAATGAGCAGAGCCAGATTAGGGAACAAGCCAGTTTAGTGACTGCCCAGGATTATCAACCTTATCAGAGACTCGAGATATTACTGGATAATTGGGGAAAGATACAATGAGCCTATTCCCAATAAAGAAGACGGTGCCCTTGAGTGGAAAGTTACAAACAGCTTGCTGTTATAGACCTAGCATATGCAGCTAGTCATCTGACATTCTGCCAACAGGTAAGGCAGATTGTAATGGTATTTATTGGAAACAAGTGATTTTATTACCTAAATTTACATCTGCCAAGATGCTGTAGATTCAGACACTTATTAAGGAAAAACCAAGAGACAACAAGAACAGTGGAAAAATGGAAGTGGTTTTGACAACTGGTGTATATATGTATGCAAACACGTAATGGTTAATTTTAGGTGTCGACTAGAGTAATGAATACCTAGACACCTGGTAAAGCATTTGGGGGTGTATCTGTGAGAGTGTTTCCATAGGAGATTAGCATGTGAGCCTGAGTGGACTAGGTGAGAAAGATCTATTCTCAATATGGGTGGGCACCATCCAATCTGCTGGGGGCCTGGAGAGAACAGAAAGGAAGGAAAAGGCAAATCTATCTGCTGGAGCTAGTACACACTTTTCTCTCCTATCCATCAGAGCTCAGGGTTCTTTAGCATTTGGGTTCCAGGTCTTACACCAGCAGCACCTCCAGGCTCTCAGGCCTGTGGCCTCAGACAGAATTATATCATCAGCTTCCGTGGTTCTGAGGCTTCTGGACTTGGACTGAGCCACACTACCTGCATCCAGTTTGCACACGGCCTACTATGGGACTTCTCAGCCTTCATAATCATATGAACCAATTCTCCTAATAAATCCCCTCTCATACATATATACACACACACACACACACACACACACACACACGCTATTGGTTCTCTCTCTCTGGAGAACCCTGACTAATAAACTAACTCATGTAAACAAATGAAAGTGGGGTAGTGCTTTCAGAGTTAACTGGATCAAGAGACATGAACATACCTCACTGTCTCTGACTTTAATTTGTCTAAGTTTCTAGGTTTCCATGTTGGCTTTATTATCTGTATCCTCCAAATGGCAAGAGATATGGCCCCCAGAACCTCTAGGGTAGGGTAATATAACCTTAGCCGGCTACAGTTCAGAGAGAAAGAGAATGCAACAACAATGAGATACCACAACACCTATCAGAGTGGCTAAAATCCAAAACACACCATCAAATGTTGGCAAAGACACAGACTGACAGGAACTCTTACTCATTGCTGGTGGGAATGCAAAATGGTACAGCCGCTTTAGAATAGTTTGGTGATTTCTAACAAAACTAATCATACTCTTAGCATATGATCCAGCAATCATGCTCCTTGGTATTTACCTAAATGAGGTGAAAACTTAAAACCTGCACACAGATGTTTATAGCAGCTTATTCATAACTGCCAAAACTTGGAAGCAACCAAGATGTCCTTCAATAGGTGAACAAATAAAGAAACTGTGGTACATCCATAAAATTAATATTATTCGGAGGTGAAACCTGAAGTGATATTACTAAGTGAAAGAAGCCAGTCTGAAAAGGCTACATAGTCTATAATTCCAAATATATGACATTCTAGAAAGTGGAAAACAATGGAGACAAAAAAGATCAGTGGTTGCGGGGAATTAGCAGGGAGAGAATGAATAGGCTGCACAAGAGGATTTTAGGGCAATGAAACTACTCTGTTTGATATTATAACAGTGAATCATGTAATTTTAAATTTATCGAAACCCATAGAATGTACAAAACCAGGAGTCAACAACACTAATGTAGTGATATGTCTATTAGTTCATCAATTGTAACAAATGTACCACTCTGTCAGGGATGATGGTGAGAGAGGTTGTGTGGGCGAGGGGAGTGGACTTATAGGAACTTTCTGTATTTCCACCCACTTTTGCTGTGAACTTAAAACAGCTCTAAAAAATAACGTCTATTAAAAAGAGAGATAGAGGGCCAGCCCGTGGGTCACTTGGGAGAGCGTTGTGCTGATAACACCAAGTCAAGGGTTAAGATCCCCTTACCGGTCATCTTTAAGAAAAAAAAAGAGAGAGAGAGAGAGAGATAGAAAAAGGCTCCATAAAATAAATCCCAGAGAATAACTGTGACTGCTTCACTGATGGTCTTTAGAGCTAGGGCTGGGTCTGGAGCTCACAGACCCCTCAAGCTGCTTGTCCAGACTGGGTCACAAACCCTTCACATGCAGGTCTATGAGCTAGGTAACAGGAAAAAGATCCTTGGAGCCTTGGCTGAAGGAATAACAGTCTTTATTCAGCACACACACATCTCAGAGCTAGGCAGTCCAAAGAGAGACTCAACTGAGCAGCTCCCAGCAAAGTAAACATGCTCTATTTTTAGACACGAGCTCTATGCCATTCAGCTGCTGCTTCACAAACTAAAGAACACACAATAGCACAAACTAAAAAGATACATAGGCCCACATGTGCACTAACTCTGCCCCCCACACAACTTGTTTACAAAGAATGTGCTGCACCACCCCCAAACAGATCTGAGGATATGGGGCCTGATTATTCTGTTTTCCTCACATGGTCCTATGCCCATCCCCAGACTTGTGATGCGGTCAGGAGAATGGGATATAAACTTACCAGGTTTGAGTCACATGCCCATTACTGTGGCTTGGGGTGGGGCAGGAATGGACATAGCTGCATACTAAATGTTCCATTTAGTAGCCTCACCAAAATCACTTGATTTGAGTGGAGGAAGAAGAGCTCCCCAAAGGGAGGAGAGGGGACAGAGGAGAGGTTTCAGATACCCTTACTGGCCAGCTACAAAAAAAAAAAAAGGAAAGAAAGGCCAAAGACATGGACTTTCCTACCACAGATGAGCTAAGTTATACTTATAAAATTTTATCTATATAAACTGGAATGATTTTATTCTTGAAATAATATTTTTATAGGCAAAGCTATAACTATGAGACTCAGTTCTAGCCAATGAGGTGTGAGAAGGAGTCTCCTGTGTGAGACTTTCAAGAAGGTTTCTGTTTCCTGATCAGACAGAATGATACAAGTCCACGGAAAGATTTGCTCTATCTTTCAATTCCATTTTTCCATGAAACTTATGAAGTATTCACTTTTCCTGCCTATAAATGTAAACATTAAATTTGGATGTACAGCAGCCATCTTGCAAGCACGAAGACAAAACCACACACTAAAGATGGGAGAACAGAAAGAAGCAGCTTGTACCCCGATGTTATTGTGGAAGCACCTTACCAGGCCTAGACTTCTTACCTCCAGACTTCTTGTAAATGAGGAAAAAAAAAACACACTTATTTGGTCAAACCACTGAAGTTGGGTTTCTACCACATGCATCAGAACACTGGTATCTTAAATGATACAGGTGGTTTACATCACTTTTATCACCATCTATAGAAGTTACAAGTTATAGATGTGTCCTCTATTCTGTATGATACTGTAATGGTGAATACAAGACATTATGCATTTGGCAAAACCCATAAAACTGTACAACTCAGAGTGAACCCTAATGTAAACTTTAGTTAATAATAATGTATGAATATTGGTTCATAATTGTAACAAACGTACTACATTAATGTCAGATGTTAATAATGGGAGGAACTTTGGGGGAGTATATGAACTGTCTACTTTCTGCTTGATTTTTCTATAAAGCTAAATGTGGTATAAAAATAAAGTCTATTACTTTTTTAAAAATGAAATAAAAATAGAACTGAAACTAAGATTTTTACTGGATCACTGATATTCTCAACCAGATGACCAAATGAGTTAAATTTCATTCTAGTTTCTGACTTTTATCAAATTATATACAATAGCATGACTTTATTTTGAGTCACAATTACTTTTTATAAATTCCTACTATTTGTTCTCATTTAATCCTCAGTACATAATCAAAACAATAATAGTTAACAAGTAATAAAAACCATATTATTTCTCATTAACCTTTTATTTTTAACTTAGTTTTACAATAAAGAAACAGAAAAGTTTGTCATTAAAAAAATACCATAGCTGTCAATTTAAAATTTAAAATGAGGTGCTTGTTAAACAAAGCAGTAACACTATATCCTATAATTACATCTTTACTTTTATATACAAGAACTGTGTGCAAAGTGCTTTTCAAACTATAAAATAAGACTTTGGAACAGGATACAAATGGTTATTCCTAGGAGTTAGTTACCCCTGACTGCTTGTAATGAATCACAACTGCTTAAGTTCTTAATTTGCATTTTATTTACTTACACACTAAGAGGAAAGCCACCATTTTCTGATACCAGACTGATATCTAATTTTTGAAAATTATCCCTGGTCCACAGGTCTAAACTTTATTTTTACATATAATTCAGTTACTTGCTTCATTTTTTTTTCCTAAATAAATAGGGAACAGCTTTTTAAAAGCAAATATTAGTAGATCCCGTTAGACAGACACATTTTAATCAAGGTGGGATTAAAAAATAAAAAATCAAGCTACATGAAAAAAAAATAAGGAAAACAGAGTTTGAGGAAAGCAAATTGTATTCTTAAACTTTTTTTTTTCCTTCAGGCAAACAAAGAACCACTGTGTATACTACTACCGATGGACTAATTCTTTCCCTCTTATTTAAGACACTCTGAACACATGATGCTAAACCCAACATTATACATATCGAGAATGCTTAAAAATTATTTCCTGCCAAGCCTTTGAATCAAATAAATCTTTAAAGCATAAGGTACACCTAAGTGAGGAGGGAACGATGGAAGGTGTACAGGATGAATGATTTTCCAAACAAAGTCTTCCAGGATCTAAATTACAGTCTTTTTTTTTTAGCCTAAACATGAGAGGTGGGGTAGAGGGACTTAAATTTTCATTAGTTGCATATGCTTTATTCATATGGAAGCATATGGCCTGCTAGCTTGCAAATCCTTCCAATACATCTGTATAATAGGTATATCTCAAATGTTATACCCCAAAGGAAAAACTGAGGCACTAAGAGGTTAAGAGATCAGTCTGTGTAGTTCATCAATTGCAGAAAAGTGATTTTCATGTTTCCTTTTTGACCTTTGTAAAAACAGTATAAATAAGTTTTCATTTTATATTTCAAAGCACCCTATGACGCAGACGCTAGATATCCTCAGTTAAAGAAAAATGATTACAAAGGATTGAATGATTGAATGAAAATCTTATTAATCAAGTGCAGGCTCATAATATACTTTTAAACCTGCATTAAGCCGATTCTTCATCATTTCCATCAGCAGGTTATATCCATTTTGTGAATCATTTGTAAAAACTAAGCCTAGTACATAGGGCTCTACTTTTTAATGACGCCTAAACACCAAACTCAAAGTTGTGAATGCCCAAGAAACATTATGGGCAGCCCACAAAGTAAAATGTGGAGAAGATTCTTCCAGCTGTTTTCTGCTACTTGGCATGGCATTTCAGTAACTGAGATATAGAGGCGATTTAATCTCATTTGAAATACATTCCTGGTTTTCATTCCTTCTCATATTTAATTTAGAAAATTAAAATTACCAACTTATAAATCTGATCTCATTATCACAACTGTACCTTGGAAAAGCAGCTTATGTTTCTCTATGGGAGATGATCAGGTAAATGTGTGACCAAACAATAATTAATGATTTAATGTCCTTCAGTTCAAGAGTAGGGTAAATCTATGTATGCTACTTATAACCTAGTTGAGACTGAGTATTCAAGTTATCAGTTATATCAGTCCTTAAAATGCTATCATTTGTGTAGTGCAAAATATATATATGTATATATATACACAAACCAAATTACTGGACAACGAAAGGAAATGTAATCATCACAGACTAAGATTTTCTTCTGAACGCCACATCCATTTCATTCTGAAGTCATCCAGGCCCAGCTGTCTTCTTGAGTAAAATATGATTTTCTTCAGTTCAGTTTTCTTTAAAAAGAAAGTAAAAGCCAAGTTCCCATGAGTATAAATGTAACCTGAAAATGAAACACATCTATACCAAAGAATTCTCTGGATGCTAACATAATAACTTTCAAATTCAAAATAAAAACATAAAATTGCAAATGGTCCTTATGAAATTACTTCATGTGACTTATAGCCCAAAATTACCCGTGCTGAAATGACCAGTTTTTAATAAATAATCTAAATTTACATTTCTCCTCTCTTACCCTCTAGATTATCACCTTTTACTACCTGGCTATTATATAATTAAGATTTGGGGGAACTGTTCCATAATTTTATCAAAATAGAATAACTGTGAAACAAAAAAGCTTAACAAAACTATAAGAGGTTGAAAGATATAAAACCTGGACTGTTCACTTAATGAACACATATTATGTATCTATTACTTTCTAGGCACTGTGCCAGGCACTAGGGATTCAAAGATAAGTGAGGCACGTGCTCAACCCTCAAGAGCTCTCAATTAGTTGGTGGGGCAGAAGTGGACATACAAACCAAAAACTTGGAGAGATATATATATATATAATGTGATGATTTTAAGGACAGCAGAGTGAATGAGCTATCAGAAAAGAGTTGACTTGTTAGCTATAACACCACAATCATATATGATGTGAAAGGGCCTGTTGCTGTAAAATCCCCATACCCTCCCAGCACTCCTGATGCCAAAATGCCCGAAACCCTCTCATTACAGATTCATTCCTCTCTGCAGAAATACTCTTCTGCAACCTCCTTGGCAGAAGTGATATTTTAAATAAACAGATCATTCCTTATCCTCTGTAGAAATCCTCTTATGCATACCTCCTAAGCAGGAGTGACATTTTAAATACAATCAAATCCATTTTCACATAACAGATAGATGTGGGTGGGTTTTTGTTTTTGTTTTTTTGGTGGTGGAATAGGAAGTGAGCTTTTATTCAGGAATACTGGTGACCTGAGGAGAGATATTAGGCTGACCCATCTCTCCAGTAAACCTGAAGGAAAGTGGCCAGACTAAATCCGTCTCAAAGTCTCAGGTTACTGAGAGGTTTTTAAAGAGGGGTTGAGGGAATAGAATGCAGGAAGTGAAAAGCAGGAGGGAGGGGGACGTGAGCTGTGGGGACTCCGAACAAGGAGCCAGGTGCAAGGTCTCACCAAGGCTCCGTCTGGTTTCTGTTCCCATCTTGATGTTATTTTAGGGTCCTGCTGGATTTTGATGTGCTTCAGGTGGAATCACCACAGCTTTATTGATGTCTTCCTTGGTTTCTCAGGATCTGGATAGTATGTCTCGTGGCAAGTTTACAACTACAGGCTAACATTAATTCTTTGATACAATTGCCTCCCTACTCTTGAGTTACTTTAGTTCATGTTCTGTTTGCTGCAGTAAATAATTCAGCAAACTTTTCAAGGAAGGTTCTTGGTCAACATACTTTCTTAACCTCTGCATATTTGAGAATATCTTCCAGTTGCCTTTGTAGAGAAATGATAACTTGGTAGAGTATATAATTCTTGATTCAAAATTATTTTCCCTTACAACTCTACAGATATGGTTCCACTGTCTTCTGGCATTTAAAAGTGCAAGAGAAAAATCTGAGGTCAGCCTGCCTTTTGCCCCGTTATAACAACTTGCTTTCTCTGCTTGGATATTTGTAGAATTTTTTCCTCACCCTTGAAATTTAAAAATGTCACCAGAATATGTCTAGCTGTTGTTGTCTTTGCATCAAATTTTAAAATACCGTGTGCTTTTTCCATTTGTAGATCTAGTTTGTTCCTCAACTCCAGAAAATTTTCTTTTCTTTTTTTTTTTTTGTTAATTTAAAAAAAATAGCTTTATTGAGGTATAATTCACATACCATACAAGTCACCAATTTTTTTTTTTTAATTTTTATTTTGTCAATATACAATGTATATGATTATTATGGCCCTTCACTGACACCTCCCGCCCTCCTCCCTCTCTCCCCTCCCCCCCAAGAATGTCCTTTCCGTTTGCTTGTTGTAACAACTTCAAAAAAAAGTATAGTAAAGAACTCAAACAACTTTACAAGAAAAAAACAAGAAAGAACTCAAACAACTTTACAAGAAAAAAACAAGAAAGAACTCAAACAACTTTACAAGAAAAAAACAAGAAAGAACTCAAACAACTTTACAAGAAAAAAACAAGAAAGAACTCAAACAACTTTACAAGAAAAAAACAAGAAAGAACTCAAACAACTTTACAAGAAAAAAACAAGAAAGAACTCAAACAACTTTACAAGAAAAAAACAAGAAAGAACTCAAACAACTTTACAAGAAAAAAACAAGAAAGAACTCAAACAACTTTACAAGAAAAAAACAAGAAAGAACTCAAACAACTTTACAAGAAAAAAACAAGAAAGAACTCAAACAACTTTACAAGAAAAAAACAAGAAAGAACTCAAACAACTTTACAAGAAAAAAACAAGAAAGAACTCAAACAACTTTACAAGAAAAAAACAAGAAAGAACTCAAACAACTTTACAAGAAAAAAACAAGGCAAAAGCTTTTTAGTTTGATATAGTCCCATTTGTTTATTTTTCCTTTGGTTGCCCGTGCTTTTGGGCTTCCTTAATTACTACTTCAGCTCCATTTGTATTGTCCTGTTTCAGGAATTCCTACTATGGTAGATCGTATCTCCTGGACCAGCCCTCTAGGTCTTTTTCTCCTCTTTTCTTATCTTGATTTTTCTTCCCTTTTTCTCTGCAGTCTGTGAGACTTTCTCTTGTTGTCGCTCTCCCAAGTGAGCTAACTGGCCCAATCCCTACATAGGGATCTGAACCCATGGCCTTGGTGTTATCAGCACCACACTCTCCTGAGTGAGCCACGGGCCGGCCCAATTAAGGTTTTTTTTAAAAGATGACCAGTAAGGGGACCTTAACCGTTGGCTTGGTGTTGTCGCTCTCCCAAGTGAGCTAACTGGCCCAATCCCTACATAGGGATCTGAACCCGTGGCCTTGGTGTTATCAGCACCACACTCTCCTGAGTGAGCCACGGGCCAGCCCGACTTTCTCTTGTTTTGCACTTACTTCAGTAATTCAGTTTTGTGGACAATCCAGCTTGTACCTTTGTTCTATTAACTCTCTCAACTTCCTGATACTTTTTGAGCTCTCTGCCCAGCCCTTCTGTATCACTGTGGATAGTTTGTTAAACTCCCTCGTTATAAAATTCTTCAATCTTTCTATAGCTTCTATTTCTGGTGTTATATCCATTTCAAGAGGAGGCATTTTCTCAATTACTTAGCTCTGTTCATTTTCTGAACTGCAGTTGTTAGGACCTTCTCAATAGCTCTTTTTAGCAATGAAGACCAAAAAAAGATTAAGGGAGGTCTTCCACAACACGGAAAATAAAATGTCCAAAATGATTGCCAAAATGTCACACATCAGATGTAGGTGGTTCTAAAGACAAACTGCCTGAGGTCTGAGCAGAAAGGTGAGCTGTGGGGTCCCTGAGCAGTTAGCAACACTTACCAAGAAACAGAGAGATGCAGATTACCATACAAGGTCCTTTGCAGATTTACAAAAGGGCAGATAACCTGGTCACTGAACCCCCATCTACTGATGTAATAGAACTTTAGAGTTTTTTTCAGAATTTTAATGAGATCTTTCTCTTTTTTGTTTTTGTTTTTTTAATTGACTTGCAAAATGGAGGGTGTAGCCTGATAAGAGTAGGAAAGTCACAGAAAACAACAGATGAGGGAAGCAAAATAAATTCTGCCTTTCCTCTCACCTAGTTAAAGTCTCTGATCTGGCTATACTGCTGAGATTCTTTCCCCTCCTCAGAACCCTGAGCCTGACTTTTTGTGTCAATACCTTCTGCCCCACGTTCGATTTAAAGAATATTCCCCTGAGATCCTCCCCACTCCCAACCATTTTTCTTTTGTGCGGGGGGGGGTGTGTGTGTGTGTGTGTGTGTGTGTGAAGGGGGTGGCTGACCAGTATGGGGATCCAAACCCTTAACCTTGGTCCAACCAGTTTTTATTTATTACCTCTCTACTGCAGGATCAGTATTCCCAAGGAAAGTACATTATAGAAAATTTATGAAATCTGTGGAGGCTGTTAAAGAAAAATGGTTAGAAACATCCTTTCCTTCAAGGTAATAGTTTAAGAGTAGTCTTTTGGACTTAATAGGTCTGCTTTCAACATTTAACTTGTGGAGAATTTTAGTAGTAAAGTTATCAGGCTACATTAACAGAGGACAGGCCTATTTTTGAACAAGGAGAAGCCTGCAGGTGTTGCTCTTCACATCACATACAGAAAGAATGTTTTTTGACTTAGCACAGAGTGACGGTGTGAGAAATCTGTTTTACTTTTAAATTTATATTCTACTATTCTAGAAAAAAAATCAGACAACAGACCTTAAGTGTCTTCTAACATTAAAAGGAAAATACATATATTTTTAAAAGCTTATCACAAATATCTACTTATTTTACATACATATAGGACTATGCCAGTGTGTCTATGAATGCTTTCCCATGTCTTATGGTACTTCAGTTTGCTGTCATGACAACAGAGGGCATTCAGTCATGCATTCAACACAATTATTGAACACTAGTACATGCCAGACCCCGCACCAAGGGGATGAGCTACAGGATAATCCCTACCAGAGTAGGGAACATCCTCTTCTGCTCATACTTTTCCCATCGTAATCAGATTTCTAGACCTTTCTCTTAATCTCTAACACAGAACCTGTCTCTTTGTAACCATACACACTGCTCTCTAGTCTTCATTCCTTTAACTATCTGATTAATAATTGCTAAACACTGCCAGATTAGAAGATACCTAAATCCCCTCAAGGCTAAAACTTATTTCCATATCAAATACGGCTTTACCTCTAACCCCAGTTAATCTTTTACAAACATAAGTAAACAATCTGAAAAAAACACTGTACCTCATCAAAATGCAGTTACACAGTGCTAAATAATTTGCAGTTTGGAAGGATCAAACACAACATACAGTGAAAAACTTGATAAAGATTCAATAATAACAAAGTAGAAGATTAAAAATAGAAAAGAGTTTCTCCATTCAGAGACATCTGTGAACAACTGAAAAGAATACTTAAGAAAAATAGAAAATAATCTTTTATTATACTTCTACTAGTAGGGAACATTTAAAAAATAATTTTTAAAAAACTCCAATTTTCTGTGACTGCTGAAGCAGAATATAGTTTGTTTTTTCAGTCTTTAATGAAGTGATAAGCTGCTTCAACCTTAAGTATAAAATAAATTATTAACCAAAGTAAGCTTTAGGTTTTCTTGTATTATGCCAAATTTCTCTACTCTCCAACTCCCAACTTTCTACAAAGAAAACATGAAAAGGAACTTTGAAACACATTGCAAAATATGTAAACATCTACCTTAAGTGTCACTGTGCCCTGCTGCTTAATCTAGCATTACTACATATTGAAAAAAGGTTTGGTTCTTTTTTCCTCCTATTACCAGGGATATTAGAATATAAAACACTGTATAGCACTAAATCCAACCATCATATGAGAAATTTAAAATGTGTGACAGAAGAAAAGAAAGGATTTAAATTAAGGTCTATAATCTTCATTACTAAAATAATACATACACAAATGAATTAGAAAAGAGATAAATAATACTAAGAAAGCAACATATGTTTCTGAAATCCTACTGAAGTTCTTTCAAGTGGGCAGGTATATTCCAAAAACATTAATGTACAAAAAAATTTATTTAGTTCACTTATGATCATAAATCAAACCATCTTAATAGGAGCAGAGAACAAATAAGACTAAAATGATTCACCCAATGTTATACACATTTCAGTCTATCTACCGTTAAGTATTATAAGTGGAGCACTTAGAGTGCTGCTTATTCCTTTCACATAAGAGAAGGATAAGTGTTTTCTGTTATTAAGCATAGCAATTAGAAAATAATTAAATACTTTTGGGCCGGCCCGTGGCTCACTCGGTAGAGTGCGGTGCTGATAACACCAAGGCCCCGGGTTCGGATCCCACGTGGGGATGGCCGGTTCGCTCACTGGCTGAGCGTGGTGCTGACAACACCAAGTCAAGGGTTAAGATCCCCTTACCGGTCATCTTTAAAAAAAAAAAAAAGAAAAAAGAAAGAAAATAATTAAATACTTTTAATTAAATGGGTTCTTTGGTAAAGGAAAAACATACCCATAAATATTTGAACTTGTAGATTTTTGAAAATGTATGTGTACTGCACATTATTATTAAATGCCCCACTTCTTTCCCCCTCTGTTGTTACTTAAGTGGAAATGGTGATGAAACACTAAAAACATAATCAGTGAGGCCACAGTCAGGTAAATAATGGTGTATCTGCCCACCCCTGTATGGAAAGTGACTCCGTTTACATGGTGTCCAAAGGACACTTTTTAGATTTAAGGATTTTTCTGGAACCCAAGGGTTTTGGCCTGAGGTTATTCCTATCATAAACAGACTCAGGGTCCAGCTCAGTTGGTTAGTGTGGTACTGATAACACCAATGTCAGGGGTTTGATCCCTGTACTGGCCAGCTAAAAAAAACCAGACACAGGGCAATTTCAAGGATTTCAATCTATTATTCTCAAACCGATTTGAGGGATCTCCTGTCATTCCAAACTGAAATTCTGGCTCTCAAATTTAAAGTACTCCCTAATTCTAGAGATAGCCACTGGGCTGAACATTTTCTGAAAGGTCAATGTGTATATTTCAAAGGTATAAAGAGCAAGCAGGCATTACTTGTTTACTTCTCCATTGTCCTTTATACTAGCAAAGGGCCCAAAATAAACATCAGACTTTAACAGCATTGTTTCCTCATAAGCCATAAAACTTTAGACACACGTGGTCATTTCCTTGTTGTTGTCTAAATCAAAGATGTACAAATCCATCAGATGCTCTCAAGTGAAAAATATTTTAAGTCTAACAAGTACCTAGAAATCTACAAGATATCATTTCCAAGGTAATTTCAGTCTCAGGATCAGTATAGAATTTTCAGTATGACAACATGTATATAAACTGGACCTATCCCCTTAACTGCTGCTGAAAGCTATCTACTACAGGTTATAAGAGTTTAATACATCATTTCAAACTATAAAACTATAGTATTACCTCCTCCTTCTTTGGTAATATAAATATACCAACCACTGGGCAATAAAAGGCCATATGATAGCAAAAGTTAATGCACCAGGAGACATCTCAAAGGGCCACCAAGATGGTCTCTGAAAAAATAAAATAAGCTTGTCACCAATCTATTAAACTTTACACATATAAACTTAAAAACATTCCTAACTCATAATTTTGAAAATATAAAACTAGTAACAAATCTCACTCCTGATAAAATGAGGGAGATATTCTGCATCTCACAGCAAAATTCAAAATTCAATAAGCAGACTTTCAGGAGTACTTCAGACTTAAAAAACACAAATTTTTTTAACTTCAAAGCTCTAAAGCATAGATGTCATTTAGAATGCTTTAAGGATCTCATATAATCTAAATGTATTGTAACTTACCTGAAACCCTGGCACTTAGATTTAAGAAAAAAATTCTTACCTTTGAGGGGGGTTGATCACTACTGGCCTGCAATGTTGATGATTTTGCCTATAAATGCAAATCAGAGTGATTAAGCTTTAACAAAATGAAAAAAAAAATACAGTAATTTTTCTATTTCCTATCTTGAAAAAAGAAAAAGGCTGAAATATTTATTTATTCTCTATTTTTCTGCTAACTATGCTTTCATTATCTTGAAACCCACACTAACCAAAGGATAAGGTCCCTAAAATTACAAGCCAAACACCTTTGACATTTTATATTTCATACTTCAAACTATATAAGATAAAAATAAAACCTCAAACCAATCTACACCCTTACTTCTTTTATAATCTTATCAAATTATTTACGCAACTTTTCTTAATTAATTCCTTAGTTTCCATACAAACACATTTGAGAATTGCAGCCTTGATTATTAATTAAAATAAAAAGACTTTGTAAACAACATTCAAAGATCTGTTTTGGAAACTCATGACAAGTTATAGCAGAAGAGCTACACCATACATATGACAAGCGAACTGTTGGTTATAAATTTTTAAACGAGAAATAGCATAAAATAAGTAGGAAAATTTCAGAATAACAGGAAATTTAGATGCCAATTTGGCTCATTCTAAAGTCAAGTTTCCGTAGGCTAGTTATTAGAAACTTATTAATGCCAGTTTATCCATTTATAATAACTTTAGAGATACTGTATGAAGATTACTGAGATAATTGATTAATTCATTCAGTAAATGTTTATTGAGCATCTATTATGCACCAGTCACTATTCTGGGCACTAGAGATATAGAAGAACAAAATGACAAAAATCTCTGCCCTAATGGAGCTTATACTTTAGTAGAAGCATACAGATAATAACAAATAAAGCAGTAAAACATACAGTATGTTAGGTGGTGATAAATGCTATAAAGAAAAATAAAATAGGGAAGGGAGATGGGACATGTTATGAGACATGCAAGCAATTTTAAATAGAGTGATCAGGGAAGGCTCAAAATTGTGGCTAACTGGGGAACACCCTTCTATACAGAGGAGATAACAAGTTCAAAGACCCAGGGTAGGAGGGAGCCTGCTGGCAAGTTCAAGGAAGAGCTAGGACACCAGTGTGCTGAAGTAGAGTGAATGGTGACAGCAGGAAAGTAAGGAAAAGGAGGAGAGAGGGTAGGCTTTTAAATTTCCTTGTTATGGATAATATGATTTCCCTAAGCCTATTATGACTATAGCTTACAAGTAAAACTAAATTAGTTGCCTCTGGATGTTGCATTAGTCCTTACAGACCATTAAGGTATTAAACAAGTTATAGTTAGATTATACTCAAGCTGAACACTCCAAGTGCTGAAAGAATCAAGACAAGGTAATGATTCTTATGTTAGTTATAATACCAGCTTGTAGGCATAATAATATTCAGCCAAGACATTTACCTATGGCACCTCTCCTGACCAAATGTAAGAAAGGGTAAATTTATAAAATTGGGCTCCTAAGTGTCTAATGACTTATACAAAGTTACATTAGTGCAGTTTGGAATGGAACTCAAGGTGACCAAACTCCAATGTGACAGACACAATTACTCTTCATTAAAGCAGCAACTAACAAATGCTAGGGTCAAATCAGAACTATAAAATGGAATTATAAGTGGATTTTTTTCTAAGTAATAAATGGTCTGCAATGGCAAATGAAGATGCCTGAAGACCCTTGCTTACAGCTAAGAAGTAACAAGCACTACTTGCATGATTAGCATTATTCTTTTTTTTTTTTTTTCCCAAAAGATGACTGGTAAGGGGATCTAAACCCTTGACTTGGTGTTGTCAGCACCACACTCTCCCATGTGAGCCACGGGCTAGCCCTAGCATTATCCTTTTATTTGCCTTAAAGAAATTTTCCATATATATCAAGTAGCTTTTACATATTTAGAAAACCAATGTCCAATCATTTTATCATTCTATTGCTATATTAAAATAAAATATTACTGAATTTTTTTGAAATTCATTTTGAAAGGAAAAATCTCATATAGCAGTAATCACTGCAAAGGAAATATGAAAACAGAAAATTATTTAAATTAGGCCTCTCAAAGGCTGTGAGCTTCCCGAAGTGAAGAACCAAGATGTCCATTGCACACAGATATTGATATTCAATGTTGTACCCACAGATATGTACAATTACGCTTCAATTTAAAAAATTAATTAAACAAAATAAAAACAAAACAAAACACAAGGTGTCCTATCATCGTTGCTGTCATCATCACTATCATCTCATGTTGACAATACTTAAGTGCTTAACTATGTTCTAGGCATTGCACTAAGCACCCTATTTAATCCTCTGAATAAGCATATGAAGTAGGCGCTATTTATATTCCCATTTTATAGATTAGGAAACTGAGGCATAGAGAAAGTAAGTCACCTTCCTGACCCAAGATCACACAGTTAGTAAGTGGCAGAGCCAGGATTTGAACCCAGGTAGTTTGCTCCAAGGTCTGCTACACTCTGCTATCTCCCTTTTCATTTCTGTATCCTTTGTCTAGGGAAGTATCTGGTATGCGGCCATTCAACAAATATTTATCGAGTGAATGAATCTAAAGAATTATTTTACAAAACTATACCTCAGGCACCTTTCTATAGTGGAATGCGCATTACATAAGAAATCAGGAGACGTTAGTTACAGACCTTGCTCTGCCACTTATTAATGTACCCTCTAAGTATCTTAGCCTCTTCATCTGCTAAATAAGGGTGTTAAACTAAGTATCCTACAATGTACTACTATTCTACCATCAATTTATTTCTTTTATGAATCATCCAGGTGAATCATGAAAATTTTAAGGAAAAAAGTCCTTATCGTGTCAAAATCCTTTTTTTTTTTTCCTTTTTTGTCTTTTTTCGTGACCGGTAACAGGATCGCAACCCCCGGTGTCGCGCCCATACCACGACCAGCAACGGGATCGCAACCCTCGGTGTCGCACCCGCACCATGCTCAACCAGTGAGCGGACAGGTCTCTATATGGGATCCGAACCCTCGGCGGGAGCGCCGCCACACTCCCAAGCACCGCCGCACTCCCAAGCACCGCACTCTACCGAGTGTGCCACCGGGCCGGCCCAAAATCCTTTTTTTAAATAAATTCAATTAAAATGTTTTAAAATTAAATTTTTTTTTTCCTCATTGTCTTTTTTTTTTTTACTGACCGGTAACGGGACTGCAACCCTCAGTGTTGCGCCCGCACCGCGCTCAGCCAGTGAACGCACGGGCCATCCCTATATAGGATCCGAACCCGCAGCGGGAGCGCTCTCCCGAGTGCACCACGGGCTCAGCCCTAAAATTAAAATGTTTTAAAATGTTTTAAAAGTTTTAAAATATATATATAAAATAATATACATATATATATATATATACATCACAGAACAAGAAAAAAAGACTACCAGAAACAATAATGTTCAATAATAACTAAACAAGAGTTCCCGTGTAAGTAGCTCTTTTTTGCTTCCTTTAAGATTAACTCCAAGGGGCTGGCCAGTTAGTTCAGTTGGTTAGAGTGCAGTATTATAAAACCAAGGGCAAGGGTTCTGATACCCATACCAGCCAGCTGCCAGAAAAAGATTAAGTCTGTTCTAATCCAAGGATAGGGTGATGGGATCATGGACCTTAAATATGTTTTATCTCTCAAGCACATATAGAACACTAGAATTTTCTCATTAATGAAAGATAAAACAGTTCATTTGATAGCAGCAACCCATACTTACCTGTATAAATCAGACAATGTCACTTATTTAAGGCATTATTCTTTTTTCTTTTCCAAGATTCAATTTTCCTTTAATATATTTGTGTATTTAAAAACAAAAACAAAACTGGGTTTAACTTTCTCATCTCAAATTTATTTTTTTTTTAATGTGATGGAAACTCTGAAACACTAAATCATACATATAAGGCACTACTTTTAAACTCTTTTTCATTATAGACCCTGTTGAGAATCTAATGAAGATAACAAATCCTCTCCCCTCAAAAATGCAAAATCAAACAAAAATGTGCATAGTATTTTAGGGTATTCAAAGATTCCTGAAAGTCCAGGGATTCACAGTCTAATTGATAATAAAATGTAATTAAAAATCCTTGAGATGCATATAATTGAGAAACCTTGTGATAACTTGAGTAAGTTACTTATTGGGTAAAGGGTTAGGTAATCACAATGGATGTTTAGGAAGCCTGCAGTATCCATTTCTTCATATGTGTCAACATTTAATGTGTTCATTTTGCAATGGAAGCACATCTTCTTTGATTAATCCCTACAAATTCTTCTTAACATCTGTTACAGCATGATGCTTTGATGTTGTATAATGTTTGAAGCTAGGTCAGACAGACAGGCTGATTGCCTCTTTATTCTATCCAACCAATGTTACTCAAGGAGAGACAAGTCAGGAGACAAATGCGGAAAATCACTAGCAGGCATTTGAAACCTCTGCAGCTGAGTCCAGTGATTATCACAGCCAAGCCAAAGCTATGAACCAAGCGGAATTTTCTCTTCCTACAAACCCTTTGCCCTTCTTTTTGTACTTTCTCCAGAGACAGCTGTCTAGTTTTATTCAGTTCAGGATAGCAATCTGCCTTTACTATGAAAGACTAGAAAGAACACTAGCCTAAGATAGAGGATGTCTGGGTTCTGCTTGAGTTTCTATACCTGGACCAGCTGTAGTGTCTTTTCAAAAGTTTAATGCCCTTGGATCTTCCAGGGAAAAAGATAGTTAAGGTCAAACTATAAGTCTACATTCCCTTCTGACTTAAAGTTTTGACCCTAAAACTAATTTACACAAAAGAATTAGCACCTTAATGTATTACTCCTATCAGCATTTTTAAAAGAATCAAGATAGAAGATAAGGCTTACTACAAAAGAATGACTCTTTAATGATGAAGTATGAGGCATTAGTAAAGGTCTCTTTATCAGTTCTTCAAACTGTACTATTTATCAGCAATTATTGTTCTAATCCCAAGCACTAGATTCCTACCTCCAATACAGTACTGCAAATTTTAAACTCTAAAAATTTTCTATTATTTTAAGTGGTATTTAGTTCTTGGGACAGTCTTTTCTTCGACAATATTTTCAAAATGAGGTCCTTTTTATTTTTTATACAATTCACTAACATACATTAATTTGTGTAAATCTGATCACTGCTTTCCAGGATGAACAAGTAGAAGACAACGATAAGACAAACTCAGAGGCTTACCTGTGAAGCAGTTAGTGTTTCCAGTTTATGAAGTCTCTGAAGGACATTCTGCATGTCCTCCTGCAATCTCATGAGCACTAGAGCGATCTGCTCATTGAGGCTGCCTCTTGACCCTCTGTCAGAGCCCCAGCGTTCCCCGTCACCTCCACTTCCCACTTGCTGACCCTTGGTTCCTTCACTCAAATGTTGCATCCTATGCCCTATTTTAAGGGAGCAAAATAAGGCAGTTTTAAACAATTCTTATAAAAGTAAAAACAGTGTGTTTTATTCATTTTCCTCTGTTACTTCTTTGAAATCTAAATCTCCAAAGTAAAGTAGAAGTAATCAGGAAGTACACAAAATAAACTCTTGGGATCAAAGAAATAAATATGCAAACTTCTATATATACTGGTATATTCTTAAATTTTTTTTTGCCAAGGCTTTATAATAGACATAATATACTAGACTTTATGCATATAATTCACAAATGATATACATATTCGGCATGCATACTCAGAAAATCTTCACTAATAAGGTTAACAAGACTGAAAAAATACGAAGGCTGCTTCTTTAGAAGTATTAGTATTTGTTTCCTTTTTGGTTTTATCATATTGTAAGCCTTCCATAAGGCTTTTGAATGTGTTTTTCTTATTAAAAAATTGCATGTTCCCTTATAGGTATTAAAATCTCACTACTATTAAGATTTTGTAATATATCTATCCATCTTTTTTCTATGCATATATTTACAAAATTGGCATTACTCCTCATACATGATTTTGTGTTCTGCTTTTTAAATCATATTATGAACATTTATCTGCATCGTTAAGTTTTACTCCAAAAACACTTAAATGATTACAGAAATTCCCTAGTTAGGTCATGAAGTAATTCACTCAACCATTATCCACTTTTGGATAGTCAGGATGATCCCAAATTTTTATTACAAACATTGCAATGAATGTCTTTGCAAATAAATTATTGTCCAGATTTCCACTGATTTCTTTAGGACAGATCCTAAGAATTACTGGATCAAAGGACAAAAACTTTGTCGAGGTTCTTTTTTTTTTTTTTTTTTTTTTTTTTTTCCTTTCC